ATCAAAAATCTAAGGACAGTCCCTTCTGGGACATTTGCCACACCCCCATTGCTTCTTGGGGCTAAGCTACTTCTTATCTGACCAATGCTTAACCTGCAGCTCCTCTTCCTCCTCCTCTTGTCTCCCAAGGCATTCTCACAGATCTCAAGTTTGATCCCACATAGAAACCATCTATAAAATAATCCAGTTTAAATTTCTTTCTGGATTTTACCCCATTCTGGCTCTGGCCAGAATGATGACTTGGTGTTCTATCTGACTGTTCTTACCATGACCTGATTGGTGGCTTCCCTTGCTTCTTTCTTTTACCCATGCCAGGAACACAAACAGCAATTGCTTTTATGTCCATGAGCAGTTTCCCACAGATAGATCCTTTCTATGAGTTCCATTCCATTATGTCCTGCTCATAGCTAACCCCTTCTTGTCTGGCATATCCAATGGCAGACAAATAACAAAGAAGGAAGAAAAACACCATAGTTTTATCATTCTTCCTTGACGTGGGCTAGAAAGTGTAATTGGCAGAACCTCTGACAAAAAACGGGAGGGAAGGAAGGTCCAATGTTTCACAACTCAGAACTTTTAAAGAAGATTCGGGCATTCACCATTCTGCCAAGGAACTTGTATTAAAATAATTCCCAGTCTTTCACTGTTCCACCATTAAAAAAAATGTGTGGCATTTCATTGGTTCAGCATCTGAGGAACAAATATAGGTTTGAGATATTCAGTCAGCCTTCCCAAGTAGATCAGACGGGAAGAACATCCAGATACTCTAATTCTTTCTGTGGTATCTTCTTAAGACTTGCTTGGACATGCATCTAATCTGTTTTATTCAAAAGTTATTCTGAGCTTTTCTCCAAACTTGCATAAATAAAAGGTGGAAATGGTAATATCAATATACAGAACATGATTAGGCTTCTTCCTTTAGTTTGACTTATATACTATTTACCAATTCTTGTGCTGCTTCCTGTCCTGCCAAGACACAAAGCTAGCAAATGTGCTGTCCTTATTTATGATGCACTGGACATGTTAAAAACAAGGTTTGGCGGATTCCTTTCGTTTCCTTCCTCTCCCATTGACCTACTAGCTATTGGGCAAATTCTCACCAACCTCTTTTCTTACTGTAGATGAGGTGGGGAGGACAAGAGTTTTGTAAGACAGCCAGAATAGCAGGTGATACTAACTGATGTCTCCTTTGGGGCACAAGTTAGCACTCTTCTGCACTGCCCAGTAGGAAGAAAAAAGTGGACACACCCCAATGGGCTGTAGAAACCAATATATGCCAGCCTGAACTTATCCTCCATGAGGCCGTATGACTATGCTAACTACAGAAAGTTTGGTAACATGAATCAGACTGCATAAATGGCAAAACCTGTGTTGAACAAGGGGGGGAATCTATAAAGGGTGAAGTTGGCAAGATAAAACGCAAAGTATCTCAAATCAACCAAGACCATTATGCAGGTAAGATGAAGGTCCCCACCATATTCCAGCACAAGAAAAGAGCAGCAAGAGACCTAGAAACTAATCTTGGGGAAGGGGGTGGGGGAAGAGAAGGAAATTAGGTAAGTAGGTGTAGATAAGTAGGTACCGTGTTTCCCCGAAAATAAGACCCTGTCTTATATTTTTTTAAAACCCTGAAATAAATGCTTGTCCTTATTGCCATGCACTCAAAAGCCCGATTGGGCTTATTATCAGGGGATGTCTTATTTGGGGGGAAACGGTAATTGGTGCAGTACACACTGAATTCTTAAAGGTTTTGCTTCTAGCCAGTACCTAAAAAGTTATGAACTAAATTGTACCTACCTGAGATCTGCTAAATACAGAACTGTAGCATCAGTACTACCAAGCATGATTGAAAACTGATTCAGGTATTGGCAGACAATCAGATGAAGTCTGATGGAGAGGTTACTAAGCGATTTTGTGTCACAGCTAAGAGACAAATGAGGAAAAGTTTGTGGTATGTTTAGGGTCACTTGCAATGTATAAGATTAACTCATTATTTAATTAATTAATGTAAGATATTAACTGATATTAACATGCATGCATGACCTCAGAGCATTTAAGGTATTTAGAATAGCATATGCTGTATATGTAGTCCTCTTACCAAAGCTTATACACTTTGCCACTGAAAATTTTCAAAGCACAAAACATCAAACCACAGGTTTAAATTTAACCTTACTAAATGCCTTTGTTGCACTAGAGGAGACCTTGGATGTTTTATACAATATATCATCAGAGGTTTTATTCTGCCATTAGAATAAGTATCTGTTTTACTGTTAAAACCACCAAGAAAATACATTCAGGTTTAACACTTTTGGTTATACTTTCACTATGAGGTAAAGGTTTCCTGTGCTGTGGTAAATTTGTAAAAATGCAATGTATTTATTTCATAATCTGCTTAATATGCATGACTAAATTTGTAAAAAAGATACATTAGCATTCTTAGTACAGAACTAAGTACTGTATGTAAATATTACTATTGTCTCTATATACAGTATATTCCCACTGCTATTATCCTATCATCCTTCCTACCATTACCACTTGCTTATTATAGCATATTGTAATGTTTATTTTCAAAGGATGCCTATGCAACCAATATAAATCCCACAGGTAAGGTAAAACATAAAAAAAATAAATGAGTTCCTACAGATTTTACTCTGCTGGTCATTGCCAACCGTAGGGGGGGGGTGCTCATCTCCATTTTGAGGTCATTGAGCCAGCACTGTCCGAAAACATTTCCACAGTCATGTGGTCAGCATATCACAGAGCACTCTTACCTTCCCACCGAAGTGGTACCTATTTATCTACTGTATTTGCATTTGTATGCTTTCAAGCTGCTAGTTTGGCAGGAACTAGGGCAGGAACAGGAGCTTGCTCTTTCACATGGAGCTCGAGTCTCAAACCCAGCTTTCCAGCCAACAAGCTCAGCATCTTAATCACTGAGCCACCACACCGCCCAATATAGGCCCCATAGGCATTCCTTTAAATAAAGATGATTCTTGCAAAAAGTTATTAATGGTCCGTTTATTAAAGCTGAACTTCCTTTTTTTGTCATTATGAAAGTATCTTATAGTAAAGTAGGATACTGAGTGTAGTAAACTCGAAGGGAAGGCATATTGTGTTCCTGAGCATTTATCAGGGATTACTATTCCTGAGCATTTAGCAGCTGCCCTTTGCTTTGTCCTAATATGTATATACTGCATGTATTTTGGTTATCATGTTGATGTGCCACCAATTTCACCAAATGTGACTCTGGGCGGTGTTTATCAAAATAGGCATGTTCAGCTTTTTCTGTGTGTGCTTTGGGGGCACTGGCACTTGCAGAGTGATCCACAGTGTCAAAATGATGGGTGTGAGCAAGTGAAAGTTCTGCCCTTTTTATATCCGATTGATTGATTGATTATTTGTTTGTTTGTTTATTATTAAGCAAATTTGTATGGCTGCCCATCTCACAAAAAGTGGTTCTGGGACACGTACAAAAATACGATAAAACAACGCCTGTAAAATGATCAATATAAAAATATAAGAATCAATATTAAAAGGTAAATATTATAAAAACAAAATATACTCAGCTTAGGAAAAAAAGAGAGAAGGGTAGCCAGCTCAGCAGTAGAATCATCTAAGCATGTCTTCTGATCCCAGGAAGACCCAGGCTTAATGACATAACCTAGTCTTGAAGACTTCTGGAATTTCAAAAGGAGTGGAGATAATCTAACTTTGGAAGAAAGAATGACTCTTTTCCCAACAACTGTGTTTGCTTCTCAAATCATTATAACATTTGATAGTTTAATAATTTTAATGCAGTGAAAATTATTGAAGAAGGATGTTTAGTTACCATAGTTATACCACATTAAATAAAGATAATAAATCTGGCTTTTTAAAAAAGAATTTCTTTAAAAAATTATTACAGTATATAGTACCTTGATTCAAAGCTGACGCCATGCCAACCTCAAATATTAGCTATAATGACAGATTCCATGCATATTATTTGAGAGGAAGTCCGATTCAAGTCAGTGAGGATGGGAGAGGGTCTTCTCTTAGGATCAATTATGTCCATTTATGGATCTCATAATCCACATCTATAAAACAATCTGTAGCAGATTCTACAGAATGTTTATTTTCAAGATTTGTTACTTTCAGGCACTGTAATTCAGACACACCTCAGCCACCTTAGTCATTTATCATATTCTGAGTGAACTGCACAACACACTGCTTGGAAGAATATTCTGTAATACTGTATGAAAACAGACCTTAAGCAAACCCTTTCAATGCAACTTTTAACAGCCTTCTCAGGAAGCAGAATTGAACAATACAGTACAGTAATGTGTAGTAACACTTCAGAGTATGCAGGACTCCTATATTTACTTAGAAATGAACTGTAGCATGGTAGAATAAGGGAGGCCTTTTAGTGACCTATGCTTATTTTTCATAAATTTGGGGAAATGGATGACGAAACCGTGCAAAAATCACCATCTCCTACAGGCAGAAGTGATGAAAACCGGATCTCCTTTAAATCAGCTTGACGGCAGGGATCCATCCCTGCAATTTTCTTGCCAGTAAGACAAATGTGGATTTTTATTTTTATTTTTAGTTTTATTTTTCGATTGTCCCGTTTGCCTTCTACTTATTATCTCCTGCACAAAGACTACAAACCGAACTGCAAAAATCCGGATGAGGTCGAGTTTTATATTTTCCTTTGTTGCCATCACAGCGGCCGTGCGGGTTTTTTTTTTTTTTTTTTTTTTGCAACCCCAGATATGGTAACGAAAAAGGGGCATTTGGGGGGGGATGGACACGGAACAACGACCCCGGGCCCGGTGCGGATAAAGGCTTTTCCTCCAAAAAAAAAAAAAAAAGGCTGCCTTTGAAACGTAGTTAAAATAAGAAAACTCAAAGCGGGCAATATCTAGGCCCAACTTACAAAACTTTTACCCCTAAGAACCCCAAACAGAAAAAGTAGCTTACAACCCTTTTATTCCCCCGACCAATAAATTACAAGTCAAATTCCACCCTCCCGCTCCTCCCTTTTCCCGTAGCCGGTTCCAATTAGCGGGCATTCTCTGGCAAAAAGTCCAGCAATTGCCCCACCCCTTCTTGGAAGGCGCCAGCTAGGTGGAGCTCGTCTAAGGCTGGGGAAGCAGCTCCAGGCCGCGGTTCTGATTGCGGAAGCGCGGGAGGCTGCCTCCTCCTGCTCTTCGACCGAAAGAGGGGCGCGCCCCGAGCCAGACGTGCAGGAAAATGAGGATCGTGTGGCCCTGCCTCGTCCTGCCGCTTTTAGGCTGGAGCCATTGCAGCGGGTTTAACACCCGGGAACCGCAGACGGAAGGTAAGGCGGAGATCAAGAGTTACACTAGGAGGTGAAAGCGGGCAGGGTTGACGCCTGCGCTTCGTTTCCTACAAGGGGAGGAAGGAAGGGGAATGTCAGCTAAATATGGCCTTGGTGGCCCTCGGGAGAGACGGAGAAGGGGTGGGGGAGAAAGATCCCCCCCGCCAGAAGAAGCCTATATTAAGATCTAGTTGGTCCGGTCCGTGTCTGGGTTCTAGCTTAGAACCCATTCGGGTTTCTTTCCGGTCATTCGCTCTTTTTCTGTCTACTTCCACCTCCCCCCCGCCGTCCTTCGTGGGAAAATACAGCCTTACCAAGAGTCCCTGGTGGGGAGGAGGGGAATGTAATCTCTATTTGAGATTCTGGATCTAATCGACGCGTTCAGAAGAACAACATCGACAAAAAGAGGCTGCACCCACTGTTTAGAAACCCCCCTTTTCTTTGGTTTTCGAGGAGCGAGGTCTTGTTCTCCAGTTCTTAAAAAAAAAACTGTTATTTCGGTTTTCCCTTGGGAGTTTACTTTAGCTTTTGTTTATTTTCCTTGGCTTCTTCCTGCAGTAAGGGACCAGCATTGAGGGATGATTTCCTCCCAGTTTTCCTCTTGGTGTTTTTTAACCCCTACTAAAACATGATCAAACTCATGGGTTAATTCCATTTTCTTTTTGGCTCCTGTTTATTGTTTATTTACGAATGTGAATCAAAAAGCCAAAACTGAGAGGCTTACAAAAACTCAGAGTACAGTCAAGTATATATACAATATTAATAAATCATTTTAAAAACCATAACTATGACATCATGAGTAATATCCACATACATCCTCCAGACTTCAAACACTAGTTTAAATAATCCAGGTTTTCCTAACACACATAGTGGCTGTTAACACATATAGGAGACAGTGAATAAACCATAGTGGGGCATTGTTTTATTCATGCCAGGTTGAATTATCCGAACATATCCTGGTGTTAGGTTGGCATCACCCTTGTCTTGCCATTTCTCAGATCTGTACTAGAGTGAAGATGAATCATAGTTCACCAAAACGTCACTTACATATTTGTCATGGTTGATCTTAATTCGGTTTTTAAAAAGATAAAGAGACTTTTGTTGTGGTTCATACTTAAATGGAAGGCTACGGAATATCCCAAGGCTGTAGATTATACAAAGAAATTTTTTAAAAAATCTTGGAAGAAAACAAGAGCAAATCATAGTGTTACTGCATAGTGTTGTGAAGAAAACAACACGGACACATCTACAGTAAAAGTTACCATGAGTTGTGCTCAGCTTTACGATATCTTTTTACTAGGTTCAACTTTGAGCAGGAATAAAAGTTGATTGATCAGGAGTAGACAGAATGATCCTGGTATGTTCACAATCTTGGCATCCACCTATATTTCTGCCCAGCTGGTACTGCTACTGTTATAAGGTGCTTTTATTTGATGTTGTTAAGTAAATGTGAAGTTAGCCAGATATTAAAATGATCCTATATAAAATTATTTTTACAGAAAAAAAAATGATGCTTATTGTATCAAAGTGGAACTGTAGTGGAAAGTATTTTCAGTAATTGTCATGTGGTTTTTTTGTTGTTGTTGTTTGGCAATGGCAACTGGTGGGAAGGCTGCTAGAGCACTCGTGAGAAGCCTTAACATGCAAAATAGAATTGTCACTAAAGAGGGACTTATCAGTAAAATAGAGCCATTTTTCCAGCTTGATGGCTGGGGTCTTTGGGAGTTCAAAACCAGTTCAAGAAAAAGCATTAGGCTGGGGAAGGCTGCAAGAAATGCTCTTTTAGGTTTTAGATTTTTTTTTTCACCCAATAAGATGCATAGGAACTTTTAGATTTTTTTTCAACTTTTTTTTATAAAGTTTTTTATTATTTTTTAAAAAACAAACATTTAAACCATCAATCAGTCCTCCCCTGTGACATCTCGGTGTTGAATTCTTCAGTTCATTTTATTCTTCTTGTTCCAACAGTTTCTTCTGTCTTAGTCGTCTTCAAAACCACTGTACAAATTCATTAGTATAATCATATTCTTACTATCAGGTTATTTATACATATTTATAAAATTAATCATTTATATCTCTTTTGCAACCAAGGATAAAAATAATTCCAAATTTTAAAGTATTCTGATTCTTCCCTATTTTTAATCAATAAAGTTAATCAATTCATTTCAGCGCAGTCTAAGATCTTTCTTATTACTTCATCTTCCGAAGGTATTTTCTCTAATTTCCAATTTTGAGCATAGACAATTCTTGCAGCTGTTATTACATGTATAATCCAATAAATATATTCCTTTTTAATTTTGTCAGGTAGGATACCCAAGAGAAACAACTCTGGTTTGAATTCAGTACGTATTTGTATCATTTCTTCCAGCCAGATTTTAATTTTATTCCAATATTTTTTTGCTTCAGAGCATGTTCACCACATATGATAATAAGATCCTGGTAGTTGGTGACATTTCCAACATTTCGCTGATTTATCTTTGAACATTTTTGCTAGCTTCTCCAGTGGCATATGCTTTCAACATAACTTGTTGAAAACTTTTAACTGTTCATTTGTTTTTTTAAAAAAAATATTTGAAAGATACTGCTTTTATAAGATATTCCTGAGTGAAGCATTTTGCCAATTTATTTATTTGTATCCCACTTTTAGTATTTTTACAAATAATTCAAGGTGACGAACCTATTTAACATACCTTCCTCCTTCCTCTTTTCCTCAGAACAACAATCCTGCCAGGTGGGTTGGTCTGAGAGAGTCTGGCTCACACTCACCCAGATGGCTTTCATGGTTAAGGTGGGATATAGCCATTTCTCCTTCAACATACTATAGCAGTGTTGGTGGATTTTTTCCTTCAAATAAGGAAGTAAAGAACAGTTAAAATTATTTCTCTGTGCAGGGTGGCTGTTTATTATTTGCCAGCAAGCAGCTTCTTGTTGCTATAAATAAGGCGTTTCTGAAGTTAAGTAAGTTTTCAGTAATTCCTGCTTTCCTTTCAATGAGTTTGCCATGCTGAGTGTAGCCACAGGAATGAGAATCATGCTTAAGAGCCTGGCTTGTTCTAAGACATTAATTACAAAAGTCCCAGCATAAATCTTGTCAGTGATCTTGGAAACACAGAAAGTTGGAAACACAGAAAGTTGGAAACAGCCTCCCTGTTTGATGACACTCTGTAAATGGAGGCAAGATGACTTTGTGTTAATGCTGAGGTGGATTTGTCTGCAACTGTGTGCATTTCAGTAGACATTTCACTGTCTACAGTACAACTGAGTGCATTTCAGTAGTATAGTTGTCTTCATAGAAAGAAATGGTTTAAGGGAATTCCATTTACAGATATCTGGATTGTATTTCTGTCTCTGTTGTATTTTATACAGACAAACTCTGGACAGTTTGTCATCCCTGAATGACATACAGGTAATCCTTGATGTACGACTTCATTTGAACCCAAAATTTCTGTTGCTAAGCAAGACAGTTGTTAAGTGGATTTTGCCCCATTTTATGGCTTTTCTTGCCACAGTTGTTAAGCGAATCACTGCAGAGGTTAAGTTAGTAACACAGTTGTTTAAGTGAATCTGGTTTCTCCATTGACTTTTGTTTGTCAGAATGTTGTAAAAGGTTGACCGTGACCATGGGACACTGCAACATCATAAATATATGCCAATTGTTAAGCATCCAAATTTGGACCATGGGGATGCTGCAATGGTCATAAGTGGAAAAAAGTCATAAGTCACTTTTTTCTATGCCATTGTAAGTTTGAACAGTCACTAAATGAATGTTTGTATGTTGAGCATTACCTGTGATTCAGTTAGAGCAAATTGGAGGAAGAATTTAAAAAGGGAGGGCTAGTGATAAGTGACTGTGATAGGTCACTACCAGTTAACTAACTAGCACAGGTCATCTGGGCCCTGGTTATAATGGTGGTCACCCAAAGGAGGTAAGCTTATTCTATACAAGCAGGCTCTCTAATGATGTTAATAATGCATGGTCTTATTGCCTAGAGCAGACATGTTCAGCAAACAGTGTGCAGCTCTCCTCTCTTTGCTTCTCCTGCTTCAAAGCAAAATAGTTAGGTGTTTGTTGGTATCTTTCAATATCTCAGCAACACAGCAGCCAAACAAAACCCCAGTTTGAACTTTTGAAGAAGTTGAAGATAGTTGCAAAAATGTAGAGTAGTAACTGCTGGCCTCAGCAATTTCAAGGAATGCAGTCCTCACCATGGTGAGCATAATTACTGAAACCTGCCTTCAGAACAATCATAATTTTTTTAAGTGGCATTTTTTTTCCCCAAATGGCATTTCATTTTGTCTCTATCAGGTGATTTTCTGCATCTAGGAGGCCTACCCACGTTCAATGTGCAATTGAAGAACCAGACTGTAAGAGCAAAATACATCTTGTTCATTGCAGATTTTGCAGGCTAGGGTACAAAATTTGTATGGCTTCTTCTCCATAAAAATTAGTTAATATTGTCTGGGCCAGGACAATGAGTTTAATCTCTTTCTTGCCACAGGTTTTTTTCCAATTTGTTTTCCAAATAAGATTTCTGCCCAGGCTAAATGGTAGTAGAAGAGACAGACTTGGAAGCACTCAGCTATCAGATTGGAATTCTAATGAAACACTTTCTACACATAGATATTCTTATCTATTTTAGCAGTTCTGTGGTACTCATTAAAATATCCAGGTATTAATTAACAAGGCATGTAGGCTGTTCTGCTGAAAGTGAGATCACTCCCCAACTTCCAGTAACACGTACCATGATGAATAATTCAGACATGTTGATGCTATTTTGAAGAATGGGGAGCAGAAGGTTACAACATCAAAGTGAATTAAATGCTAAAATGATCGTATTAATCAAGAACATCTTTTCTTAAACATAGAGCTTTGGCATTGTTAGACATATTTCTGTTAAATACTGGTGGGATAAGAATACCAGTCCCTTTTTTAATGTCAGTTCTGGAAATCTCTTAAAAAGGGAGTCTTGATATTTTATGAAATATAATATTTGCTATGCACAAATCTCGCCTTGCTCTAATTATTTTTCTCTTCCACCCTCCCCCTTTTTTCCTTTGTCTCAAAAATGAGGAAACTGCAGGCTGTTATTGAATGACAGCTCTTAGCAACACTGGTTAGCACTGCTAACAGTGAGGAACACTAATGTTGTAGTTCAGCAGTACCTGAAGGACTGCAGGTTCTCCTCTCCTGAAAACAACAAGCAGAAAGAAGACTTCTTGTTTACAACCATGAAAAATAAACTATTGGATAGCACATCCCCAAACACTGTTCTGCAGAGTTAGGATATTTTAGATGTATTTTATCTTATGCATGCCTAAAATAGAATACAAGGTAGCATTTTCAAAATACATTTCAGTGGGAGAAGCTCAATCTGGACAGTTTTCTTCTAGATCCATTTGTGAAGATGTTTGCTAACTGAAAAGCAGTGTGTGTGTGTGTGTGTGTGTGTGTGTGTGTTGAACAAAAAAGCATGGAGAGTGGCAACTTCATTGCACAACATGAGTAAAAACATAACTTGTGGATTCCAATACAAGAGGAAGTTTCTCTTTAGTATCAAACAGAAATTTGGAGAGTTCCTTTCTTAGTTCCCACCCAGTGAGCGCATTGGCCACTTGAGATGGCCATGTTCCCTTCATGCTGCAGAGTTCTGTTAATCAGAGAACTGACTTTGGAATTCAGAATCATGTATCTTCCAATTAGATGGGAAGTTGCAGTAATAAGTACTTCTGCACATACAACTAACCTTTTGCAACTTATTTATTTATTTATTTGTAACGGTGTTTTCGTATCACCCCACTTTGAAACAGGTGAAGTAAATGGACTGTATTTCTATTTAAGTTAAGTAAGTAAATGGATACTAAGCCATATAGAACGTTAACGTTGGAAATCAATTCCTTGAATTGACTATGGAAGATTAATAGTCAATAGTGCAGGAAGTTCAGTGTAGGTGTATTAGGTGAACCGACTCCTCTCATTAATAGCCAAAGCATGCATTTTGAACCAACTGCAGCTGCCAAGTCACCTTCAAAGGCAATTTTAGAGCACATTGCAGTAGTCTTAACTTTGGGACAAAAAGCGTGTGAGTCAGTTTTGCAAGGGCATCCCAGTTCCTCAAAATGTGTTCCTTCAAAGGGAATAAAACCCTCATCCGGAGTCAGCCTGGAGATCAGGATGATGCCTGTTCAATCTGCTCATGTCTGAACCCATACAATCCCTCACAAGCCTCAAGCTACTGGGTCAAAACCACTACAGTATGTTTGATGTGATCTGGCCTGAAACGGTGACATATAGTTGAGCATTATTAGCAATACTGATGGTGCTTCACCAAAGCTCCCATGTAACACCGCTCCTGCGCGAGCTGCACTGGCTCCCAGTGGTCTTCCGGGTGCGCTTCAAGGTGTTGGTTATCACCTTTAAAGCGCTCCATGGCATAGGGCCTAGCTATCTCCGAGACCGCCTGCTGCCACCGACGACCTCCCATCGACCCGTGCGCTCCCACAGAGAGGGCCTCCTCGGGGTGCCATCAGCCAAACAATGCAGGCTGGTGACCCCCAGGGGGAGGGCCTTCTCTGTGGGGGGTCCCACCCTCTGGAATCAGTTGCCCCCTGAGATAAGGAGAATCCATGACCTCAGTGCCTTCCGCCGTGCCCTTAAAACCTTCCTTTTCCAACAAGCCGGGCTGGCCTAATTCTTTTTAAGTGTTTTTAATTGTTTGGTTTATTGTTTTAATTAATGGGGCCAAATTTATATACATTTTTTTAACTGTATTTTAATATTTGTATTTGATGTTTTTATTTGGCTGTTCACCGCCCTGAGTCCTCAGGGAGAAGGGCGGTATACAAATTCAAAAATAAATAAATAAATAAATAAAGTAATAAATAACCTCTTGCGGTTATCTATTTATATGAGAGCTTTGTCACTGAAAGAACTATGAGCTTGACATTTCTTTCCCGACATGCTCATATTGACTGATGCCGTTATGCTGTGGAAAGAGCAGAATTATTATATTGTAGTGGTCCCAAACTCCACAGCCAGGGTCTGCAGTATCAAACACTGCTAAGATATCCAGGGCCCAGCAGAGGTTATTAATCAAGGTCCTACATGTTTCTGTCCTACATTTGGGCCTAATTCCTGCCTGAAAGGAGTTTAGACCATCTGTTTCTTCTAGGATGAATCTCAAAATCTTGCCCAGTAAAAGAAGATAGATACTGATAGCATCTTTACAACCGTTTTAAGACTTCACTAAAATCTGTATTATTATTTTTTTTTAGTTCCTCCTCCAAACAATGTTATTGTAATATCATATAATGACAATATCTCTGTATATTGGGATTATGAAAGTCCATCCTTAAAACCTCTGTTTACGGTGCAGATCACGTGCTATAGGTAAGACTATTTTGATTTAGAATTTTGCATTTAGTTTTATAATGCTTTCCTCAGTTTTTGTCACTGATTTTGTTGTCCAGTAAATCAGCAGAACCAACAGTCACAGATTTTCTTGTTACTTTTTAAAAATAGTTTGACTATAAACTGACTTTTTTTTTCCTCCCATTTTCGGTAGCACTGGTGCTGTTAAGGAAGTTAATACTTGCATAAACATAACGCAATACTATTGTGATCTTACCAACAAGATTGATAACTGTGAAACTTTCTGGGTAGGAGTGAAAGCTCTTTCTGGAAAACACCAATCTAAGTATATTGAACAAAAATTTGATGTTCTCAGGGATGGTAAGTGAACATTCATATATAAGGCTTAGATAAAAAGGATTTACCAGTTTTTAGAAGTTAAATATTAAACTGTTTTTGTTGTCTCTATACTTTATAAAAACCAGCAACTGGTTTTTCACACCAAATGTGAAGATCTCATTAACATATTACAAATTTTTAAAAGCCTTTGTCAACATGGTATCTTCCAGTCATGTTGGTAGGATAGCAAAGCTCATTACCAGATTGCCAATCAAGATGATGCCAGAATGATGAAACATGGGTCTTGACACCACAGCACAATCTCTGTCCTTATGTGAGAGATAAATCGTGATGCACAGTTCATCACATGTCTCCTCCTATGATATGATACCTATGTTCTGAGGGTTCTAGATAGGAGAAGTTCCAGCCGTAACTGGCAGGAGCATCTGGGGCCAAGAGATTGCTAGCACTGACATGTAATTTCAGTCCATCTTCTCTGTTCTCTTCAACATGATCATTATGGTTCATCATATAGTCAGCCAGATGTTTAGATTGCATTTGGCATTTTTGTCCACCTATCAAATCCTTCCCTAGGATAGACAGATATTGTTTAGAACATATAATCATAGGGTTGGAAGGAACTTCAGAAATGTTTAAGTCTAATCCCTTGCTCAAGGCAGGAGACCTTATATCATCTCCGTCAAATGGTTGTCTAGTCTTTTTCTGAAAACCTCCAGTGATGGAGCACCACAACTCCAGGAGACAAGCTAGGAGAAAATTTTGTGATAGTGAGAACAATCAATCAGTGGAATACATTGATTAATTGTTCTCACTGTCAGAAAATTTCTCCTAGATTGGATCTCTCTTTTACAAGCTTTTCCCATTACTTCTTGTCCCTCCCTTTAGTGCTTTGGAGAATAAATCAGTTCCTTCTTCTCTATGATAGCCTGACATGTACTGGAAGACTGTTATCATGTTTCCTGTAAATCTTCTTTCATAGGCTAGACAGCCATAGTAATAGGCACCTTGGGTGCAATACCAAGGCAACTGGAGTATCATTTGAATACCATCAGTATTGACAAAATCACCATAAATCAATTGCAAAAGGCAGCTTTACTTGAAAAAGCTTATATCCTGTGACAATACTTTAACACCATCAAATTTCCTTTTGCAATTGATTTATAAGCTTCCTTTTGTAATTGATTTATGGTTATTTTATCAATACTGATAGTATTCAAATGGTACTCTAGTTGCTTTGGTATTGCACCCAAATTACTATTTATTACTTACTTATTTATTTATTACTTAATTATTACTATTACTTTCTTTTGTCAAAGTTATTCTTTCACGTATCTTTATGTTTTGTGATAGCTTGCTCTGAAGCAGTCAAAATCAAGTCTTTTTTTAATGTTCAGGTTGTAAGCCATTGCCAAATTCTTCCCCCACCCTTTATTATGCCCTATATTGCTCACCTGCAGCATCTGGATGTGAGTTAAAAAAGAAAACATCACTTCCTAAAGGGAGCACCCAAAGCTATCTTCAGACAGCCTCAGGTGGATTGTGAATTACAGGTGGTAGCATCCTTAATCTAGGGCAAGACATTTCTGTGGATTTGACCTTAGGAGTTAAGAAGAAATTCTATTTAGGCCAAAACTAATATATTTCCTACATCTTCTGTAGTTGTGGGAACAGAGTCACTTTCCTCTTTCAGTAAGAAATAGTGGCTATGTAGCTCCTTTAAGGCGCAATAGAAAAGAATATTTGTAGCTCAGAATTGACCTGTGGGGTTCTTGGTGCTGTCTTGATACCACCTAGTTTGGTAATGAAATGTTTGCAAGAAAACAACCAAACTCAAAGGGCATCAATGACCCCACAGTCCTTCAAGTCGGGCTAGTTCTCTTCTCCTGAGAAAGGGGTGCACATTGGCTCCTCCTCGCTTTGTTACTTTTACTTTACTCCAAGATGGGGTACAGACAGCATCACCATGGGATTAACTGGAATGATCAGAAGCATGTTATCCCAAAAACATTCTTGCACTCTCCAAGTTTTCATAAGGCAGACGAGATTTTGAGTTTGGACGTATTCATCAAGTTTGTAAAAGTGGTCTCTTGATTGCATTTCCTACCTATTGTTCCCAGAAAGTGACTTACATCATTGCATTCTATTTCTTGTATAAATAAGCATTTTATTAGAATGTTGTGTTGTGTTGTGTTGTGTTGTGTTGTGTTGTGTTGTGTTGTGTTGTCAAAAATTTGATACTAATAGAAAAGTTTGCAACTCTTTCAGGCCAAATAGGACCTCCGAAGTTCAATCTTTCCATTGATAATCAGGACATAGTAGTCAACATTGAACCACCCTTATTTCCATATGATGGCCTGATTGAGGAATACACCTACAAATTGTTCATTTGGAAAACTGGAAACCCAAAAGAGGTATATTTTATGTCTCTAGTTTTTCTTCATAATATTTGTGCCTTAGATGCTGTATTCAAAAAAGTTGTTAAATCTTGTGAACTTAGTGGTGGCTGCTCCTGCTATCTCTGACATTGGTGGTAGCAGAGTAGAGAATGGCAGATGAGGCAGTATGTCACCAATTGTCAGCCTCAGCTTTGCCTGCTTCAGCTGCCATAAGAAACAGGGGGAGGGACCAGTTAAGGGGGGAAAGGGGGGGAAGATTGCAGGAGGTGTCTTTCCAATGCAGGAGGTGTCTTTCCAAGAAACGAAACTGAATCTCCAAAGGGGCTGGCTGACCCGGCCCCTTTGATTTCAAAGGTTAAATACCTAGGAGTTCAGGTGGCAGAATCCAATATGAAACTGATTCAAAATAATTATGAGGTGTTGTGGCGAGAGGTACAAAAAGATATGGAGACATGGAAAAAACTGCAGCTTTCTTTACTTGGAAGAATAGCAGCAGTGAAGATGAACATTTTGCCAAGATTTCTTTTCTTGTTCCAAATGATTCCGGTGCTTAAAAGTGATAAACAACTGAAAGAGTGGCAAACTGGAGTGAATAAGTTTGTCTGGAACGAGAAAAAACCGAGAGTTAAATTGAAAATTATGCAAGATGTTCCGGAAAGGGGAGGTCTCAAACTTCCAAACCTACAGTTATATTATGAAGCAGCAGCTTTGACTCAAGCAAGCGATTGGTTTGGAAGGAAAAAGACTGGAATATTGAATATTGAATATAGAAAGTTTTGATCTCGAATTTGGTTGGCACGCTTACTTGTTTTATGAAAACAAAGTGGATAAAGTATTTAAAAGTCATATACTTAGAGATTCTCTGATGAGAGTATGGAAGAAGCACCGAATCAAATGGGATTATAAAATACCGTTGTGGTTGGATCTTGGTCATATTATTTGGAATACAAATATAATGTCACTCGGGGGGGTTTTATATAAAGAGGTTCTTTTTACAGATGTGGGCAGATGGCAACTGAAGACATTAGAGACACTGTTGGGTGAAGGGATTAACTTAACCTGGTTACAATACAATCAACTTCAACTGAGATGGAAAGAGGACCAAAAAACTGGTATTATGTTGCATGAGGAAGAGTTGGTTAGACATATAAAAGAGAAAGGTCCAATGCATATCAAAAGGCTATATAATGTTTTGTTAGAAAGGGACTCAGAAACTGAATTGGTTAAAGATTGCATGATTAAATGGGCACAGAATTTTGCAGAACCAGTAATGTTGGAAACATGGGAGAAAATATGGGTTCAGAATGTTAAATTTACGCAATCGCAGAATTTGAGGGAAAATTTTTATAAGATGTTTTACAGATGGCATTTAGATCCCAAGAAATTATCCTGTATGTATCCTAATGTTCAGCCAAAATGTTGGAGATGTGATTGTTTAGATGCTACATATTATCATGTTTGGTGGAATTGTAAGAAAGTTAAGGCTTTTTGGATAAAAATGTGGTGGGTTATGCAGAATATTTTGAAGAAAAAAATTCCATTTTCTCCACAATTGTTTTTATTGGGTATAGTAAAGGGTTTTACACAGGATGAAATTAAGTTGATATTGTACATGATAACTGCAGCGAGATTATTGATAGGTAAATATTGGAAAAATGAAGCTTTACCCACTATCGAAGAATGGACTTTGAAGATGGCCAGTTTTGCCGAGATGGCGAAGATTTCAGCATATTTAAAAGATCGCTCACAAGAGACTTATGAATGGGAATGGAAAAAATGGATAGATTATGTGCAGAACAAATATCAAGTCAGAAAGTACCAAATAGTTTTTCATTGAAAGTACTATATAAAAATAGAAATGTATGAAAACTGTGAAGATAAAAAATTTTTTAAGGGGGTCTGAGGGGTTCAAGTTTTATAAAAAGGGGATTTTGATGGGATTATATTTTGTGGAAGTCAGGGGGGAGGGTTAGGGGGGGTTTGGGGGGGTTAGGGTGGGGTGTGGGGGCTGGGATGGGGGGGGAAATGGGGTGAAAATGTAATTGTAAAACTTTTGCAATTAAAAAAAAAAAAGAAAGAAAGAAATATGCCCATGATGCCAAGGCCGCAGGACACTTTGCATTTGTTAAGACTCTACATCTTGTTAAGAGGCAATTTTGGTGGCCTGCACTCAAAAAGGACATAGAGGCATATGTGGCTAGCTGTCCAGTATGTGCCTCAGCTAAAAGACCTCCAGGAAAAACCCCTGGATTACTTCAAGGTGTGGCTAGACCGAATGCCCCATGGAAAGAAATATCTATGGATTTTATTGTGGACCTACCAGAGAGTGAAGGCTGCACTGTCATTTGGGTAGTAACAGATTTGTTTTCCAAACAAGTACATTTCATCCCTTGCTCAAAGATCCCTTCAGCAAAAACCTTTGCAAAACTATTTATTCGGCAGATTTACCGACTACATGGAGCTCCAAAAAGAATAATTTCTGACAGGGGTGTGCAGTTTATTTCCAGTTTCTGGAAGGAGTTTTTGAAGTTGATAGGCTCCGCCCAGGGGCTGAGTTCCAGTCACCACCCTCAAACAAATGGGGCCTGTGAAAGAACCAATGGGGTTCTAGAACAATACCTGAGGTGTTACGTAAATTACCAGCAAGACAATTGGGTAGACTTGTTGTCATTTGCAGAAGTGGCATATAATAATTCCATACACAGTAGCACCGGTTTCACTCCTTTTAAGGTCGCATCGGGCCAAGATTTCATACCCATTCCCGAGCTACCACAAGATGATCCCCAGAATCCCTCCTTGATGGATTGGATTGAACAATTAAAGAGCACATGGGCAGTAACTCGGAAGGCATTAGATGAGGCACACCGGGTCCATAAGGCGCAAGCCGATAAGAAAAGGTCCCCAGCTCACATCTATAAAGTGGGCGATAAAGTCTACTTGTCTACTAAATACTTACAGACTACCCAGAAGTCAAAAAAGCTGGGCCCTAAATATGTGGGACCATTTCGTGTGATTAGACTGATTAATCCAGTAACAGTTGGGTTGGACTTACCAAAAACGTTGAGACGTATACACCCTGTATTTCATGTTAGTTTATTAAAACCTGAACACTCGTCTCTCCTAAGGGCTGACCAAAGCACCCCTCCAGTTCCCATTCTCATAGAGGGGGAGCAACATTTTGAAGTTAAGGAAATCTTAGACTCTAGGAAACACCATGGTAAAGTCCAATATCTGATAGCCTGGAAACATTTCCCTTTGTCTCAGGCTGAATGGGTAAATAAACGGGATGTCCGAGCTCCCAAGAAAGTACAGCAATTCTATACCAAATACCCAGATAAACCATAATTCTTGTATATATTCTGTTTCTCTCTCTCCTTTCCTTCCTCTTATCTAGGAATAACGTCTCTTCTGCAAGAGGGGCTGAATGTCAGCCTCAGCTTTGCCTGCTTTAGCTGCCATAAGAAATGGGGGGAGGGACCAGTTAAGGGGGGGAAGGGGGGGGAAGATTGCAGGAGGTGTCTTTCCAATGCAGGAGGTGTCTTTCCAAGAAACGAAACTGAATCTCCAAAGGGGCCGGCTGACCAACTGCCCTACATTCCTGATGAATGACGTTGCCAGACGTGATTCCACCTGACCTGTGGGAGACCTTTGGATTGGATGATGATCAATGAACACGGGGGGGGGGGGAGAAGCTTACTAGATGCTATTTCGCGTGTTTTGCTCACTTCCAGCTTTACCTGGGTTGCGATCATTTCATATTCAGTAAAAGTACTAATCTCTTTAAAATATTGAGCTTGGGTCATTCTTTCCTGGATATTGAAGGAAGCACACCTGACATCAATAATCTCTTCTTTGGCAGAATGCCTCCTGCCAGTGTCCATTTATCAGCCCTTCAAGGTAGACCACACTAGGAAACCAAAATCATGCAGTTCAATATTATTTTTATGATAAAGATATAGTATCAGAATCTTGCAAGACTGAATGTGACCCTTATGAAATTCAAAACTCACAGGTTTCGAAACAAAAACTCTGAACTAGTTCTGCAAACCATGCCCTCTTTAAAGGTTGTTTAGTAGTTTTCTGGAAGTAAATCTTTTGAGGTGGCAATGGTGCAGAGTATTCTAGACTAAAACGAGATTCAAAAGGTTTGAAGAAAGAATTGGTTTCTTTGCAGATAGGGCTTGTACATTTCTGTTTATTATGTTTACGTTTCTTAAAGGAAGTTCTAACTGCAATATATTTCACTTTTTTATAGCGACAAGAGGTTATCGCAGACGATTGCTATCTTGAGACATGCAATGTATCTCTGTCTGTTTCTTTGGATACCTCTTACTGTATTTCCACTCAAGTCTTTTCACCGTCACTAACAAAGGTTGGTGAAGAATCAGAAGAAAAATGCATCTCACCAACTCCCAAATCCCGCCTAGGTAAAGATTTTCAAACTTCAGTAAATAGATAATTGTACAAAATTTCTGTCCTGAAGCTCAGCACATTTCTATTAGCATCTCATTTTTATATGTCTGTGGGGAAAGGTTTTCTCTGAGTGTATTGCAAAGTATTATTTATTGAAAAATCCAGAGGGGCAGAAGAGAACAAAAAAGCAGAAGTTGAATTTTCCTTTCCTTTCTTTTCTTTTCTTTTCTTTTCTTTTCCTTTCCTTTCTTTTCCTTTCCTTTCCTTTCCTTTCCTTTCCTTTCCTTTCCTTTCCTTCCCTTCCCTTCCCTTCCTTTCCCTTCCCTTCCCCTCCCCTCCTGTCTCCTTGCCTCCCCTCTCCTCTGATTTCTTCTTTTTTGCTTATAAATTCCAACTGGTAATGAGAGAAAAGAACCATTATTATGAGGTCATAAATTTAATATATGTCATTTTAAAATGTTGAAATTTGCATATAGTGTGTGGCTAGGTTGAACCTCTTTGTGTACTTTGAATTATGCATCATTGTGATCAGTGGAGCTTCTTCCCTACCAAATTTTATAAAGGATTGTGCTTTTAAAAGTATGTGCTAGAGAATCCAAATGTATAGTTTGGAACAGTGAGAAGTTAGGTGGCATTTCCAACTGGATTGTAGCATATTTTTCTCTTCCCCATTTTTTGTTCATCGAAAGCCTGTTAAAAAAGAGAGGAAGGCTATTCAAATTTTAACTCTTGACAAACAATGCAAATTCTGCACCTTTCCAAATTGTTAGTTTTTTCAGTTGGTGTTAAAGTGATATCTTTTTACGAAAGAATGAATATTTATATGATTTGTCATACTGACTGTTGAAGTTGCAATTAATAAATGCTATTTTAGTGGTCCCAAATGTAGGAAATTCTGTTCATTCATAAATCTGGGAAATATGATTCTTTTTTAAAAATAAATATGTCTATAATTTTTCTAAGCCTATTGGACCAAGAGTTTCAGAGAATTTTAGGCTGAAAAAAATTATGCATGGATAGTGCATTCTAGCTTAAAAACAACTGCATCACAGTCTTATTGAAAACTCTTGAAGGATACATTAACATGTTGAAATACTATGGATTTATTGGTATAATTATAGCAGGAATTATTACCAAAGTGCATCCGTAGTTGATGCTGCAATTACAGGTAGTCCTCAAGTTACAAATGTAATGAAGCCTGTCCATGTGATTTTAACCCGAGAATTCGTGGGAGTGAATCTCGTACCTTGAAAAAGATTACTCCCTCCTTTTGCCCACGCATTCGATAAGCAAACATGAGGCTTGTTAAGTGCACATGAGGTATTTCAGGGTGGGGAAGGCCATGCGGGACCTAGTGATGGAACAGGCCATTTGCCTAAGTCTAGCCAAGGCCTCCCCAATCCACTGAAATACCCCATGCTCCCCACAATTGCTTTCCCCCTTCCCACCCAACCTGCCGCGCCAGGTCACTTACCTTGTGAAGATCTAGCAAGAGTCTTCTCTCCAGCCTCTCAGCCACGTGCGCCCTTCTGCAGCTCTGTTCGAGCCTCCGGAGCTCTTGCCTGGCATGTTGCAGGCCAAAATGGAGCTGCAGATGAGTGCATCCACTCCTCTGATTCTCCAGACCTCTGGAGACCTCACCCAGTACATTGTAGGCCAAAATGGAGCTTCAGGGGTGGTTGATCCACCTCTCTGATACTCCACTCAGGCCTCTGGAGGCCTTGCCCAGCACATTGCAAGTCAAAATGGAACTTCGGAGGGGGGGATATGCCCCTCCGAAGCCCCATTTCAGCCTGAAACCTGCCGGGAAGGCCTCTGGAGGCCTGAACGGAGCGTCCGCCCCTTCAAAGCTCCATTTCGGCCTGCAACCTGCCAGGCAAGGGCTCTGGAGGCCCAAACAGAGCATTGGGGGGCAAATCTGCCCCTCTGAAGCTCCATTTTGGTCAGCAATGTGCAGGACAAATGTTGCAGAACAACCTCTGCGGTTGTTCGTAAGGCGCGAACTACTGCCATGGTGCTGCAAGATTCGTAGTTTCAGGACTTGTTCGTAAACGCTAGGGGGTGTTTATCCCATAACTTCAAATGTTTGCTAAAGGGATGTTCATAACCCGGGTATTACCTGTACCATGTTTCCCTGAAAATAAGACCCAACCAGAAAATAAGCCCTACCATGATTTTTCTGGATGCTTGTAACATAAGCCCCACCCCCAAAATAAACCCCAGTTAAGATTGTCAGCTAGACAGATACATTTTAGTACCATATTTCCCTGAAAATAAGACCTAATTAGGACCCCAAAGTCCTAATGCGTCTTTTTGGGCAAAAATTAATATAAGACCTGGTCTTATTTTCAGGGAAATATGGCATTTACAAAGTTTCTAATGTTGCATTAAGCAATGTAGAGATTCAGAAACACCTAATTCCTGCCAGCTAATTAAAATCAGTAAATGAGAGAAGAGATAGTCTCTCATATTAAGGTCAAGATATGTTGGGAGTCTTGAATGTGTTTTATAGCAATTCTATTCTGAGCTTTTTTTAAGTAGCATTTTTAAGCAAAATATTTATAATTGTATATATTTGTGCACAGTTTAACATCCAAGCACTAATGCAAGGGTTAAGGCCAAGTGAAATATTTCTACCCTGTTTCCCCCAAAATAAGACATCCCCTAATAATAAGTCCAATCAGGCTTTTGAGCGCATGGCAATAAGGCCAAGCACTTATTTCAGGGTTCAAAAAAATATAAGACAGGGTCTTATTTTCGGGAAAACATGATACTGATACTATTTCTGCTGTGCTATGTACTTATTTTGCTTTTCTGTATGCTTCTGTCGTCTTTGCTTTCCATGAAGCTTTTTCTCTCATGATCTCTGTGCTGGAAACTATTTATATCTGTATACTTGTACTATTGGCCAAAGTTGGAGCTTCCCTAGTTGTATAAAATATTATCGTGGAAATGTTTCAAACTGTTGGTGTTCTCTAACCCTAATTTAAGCTGGGGAGAAAGGTAAACTACCATTGCTATGATGTCAAGCTAGCTAGCTACCTCAATATAAAATGATTTTATAATTGGACCCATTTAAATACACTGGACTTTTTTGGACAGTGGACATTTGTGATTTTAGGGAGTTGCATGAGTTCATTATGCTTTATGAAAGAAGGACCAGTTAACTGCTGGATAACTACCGTATTTTCCGGCGTATAAGACGACTTTTTAACACATGAAAATCTTCTCAAAAGTCGGGGGTCGTCTTATACGCCGGGTGTCGTTCTCCTGTAACCAGGCAGACCAGCCCGAAAGGCTCTAACGAGCTTTAAATGGCTCTGGCGATCCCAGCTCTGACGATCCCAGCTCTGACAATCCCAGCTGAGTTCCCTGCAACTCAGCTGGGATCGCCAGAAACCACGTAAAAGGAAAAAAGTTTTTTCCCTTTTACTCTGAGGATCCCAGCTCTGACGATCCCAGCTGAGTTCCCTGCAACTCAGCTGGGATGGCCAGAGCCATGTAAAAGGGAAAAAGTTTTCCCCCTCCAGCTTGCTTACCTCAGCTGCTAGTCGCAACGCTTGCCTTGCTTTGCTTGCCTGAATCTATTCAGGCAAGCAAGCAACTCCCTGCCTGCAATCAAGCAAGGAGGGAGTTGTGGACTTCAACTCCCAGAATTCCTCAGCCAGCAAAGCAAAGCTGGCTGAGGAATTCTGGGAGTTGAAGTCTACAAGTCTTAAAGTTGCCAAGGTTGGAGACCCCTGTTCTATTGGGTAAGTTTTTTTCCCCTTTGGGAGCTTTAAAAAAAATAGTCAATTGGGGTTTTTTTAGTTGTTCTTTTTTAGACCTAGCTATTTAAAGTTTAGGAAGTTTTAAATTTAGCTTTCATATAAAAATAAAAATAAAAATAAAATAAAATAATATTTGTGCAGCTTTCTGAGATTTAGTGTGTTTCTGTAGTGTTTCACTCCAACTACACAAACACACAAAATCTCACAAAGCTGTATGTGGAATTTGGTGTGTGTAAAGTGTGAAAGTTGGTTTTTTGGACTTTTTGTGGCTGTGTGAGGTTCCTGCTTGTTGCAGGGGCCATTTTGGGTCGAGCACAGCTGCTTTTACATTGTGGGTGAGCCAGTTGTGTTGTGTTGTGTGTGTTTAGAGTGTGAAAGTTTTTTGGGGGGGCTTTTTGTGGCTGTGTGAGGTTCCTGCTTGTTACAGGGGCCATTTTGGGTCTAGCACAGCTGCTTTTACATTGTAGGTGAGCCAGTTGATGTTTTTTAATTTTTATTTGGTGTGCATTGGAAGAGGGGCAGTCTTATATGGCAAGTATAGCCCAAACCCTATATTTTAACAGGAAAAGTTGGGGGTCGTCTTATATGCCCAGTCGTCTTATACGCCGGAAAATACGGTATATAACTTTTGTCTCTTTGAGATATATAGAAAATGTACATCATAGGGTGGTAGTATGTATTCAGCATTAATTTTATACAATAACATGTGTCTTTTTTAATTTTGTAGGCTTTACACTATTGATAAGTTTTGGAATTGTTGCCCTGGTTATTTTGGTAATCATTCTTACTGTAGTCCTTATAAAATTTCAGGAGAGAAAAATTATGCTTCCAAAATCTCTGGTAAGATATCCCAATATTTTTATTCCTTCTGAGCTACTAGCATTATGTTTATTGCAAGGTTACTTTAACATAATCTTGCAAATCTGAAAGTATCCCACCTATCCCTCCCTTTTACTCTCCCAAAAACTAGGGAAGGTCTCTTCCAAGATGCTGTTGCCACTGCTTTTCCTTTAGACTTAATTTTCATTTGTCAGATCATTGTCTACCTGCAGCTCTTCCTCTCCCAAAATCATTCCCACAGATCATAACAGTGGGTTTTTGAATTTGACGTTTCTGTCATTAGAAGTACTCTCTAGTAAGGCTTACTCTGCCAAAATGAGGCTTTGCTTTGCGGAGAAAAATATCAAGGGCACCTCACTACCCCGTGAGCCCATAGAAGGCTAGTACCAATCTCAATATTTACTCAGCCAGTATAACATTGTAAATATGATCTGAAAACCATTAGTAAAAAGGGATCATAGTGAAGTCCTAAAAACAAGTTATCCCTTGTTTAACCAAATTATTTGTCCTTAAGGTGGAAATTAAAAACCAGTGTATTTGGATGCTTAAGGACACCATTCATTTGGTCTTCTGATAATTGCTTGTAGTAGTTTCAACACAATAACTGGGCAACTGCCAAGTAATTCTGGCAATCTAAGTTTTGTGGGGGTTGTTTTCCATTATTTCCGGAGTGCTCTTGAGTGAGTTCTCAGGAAAGGGTGTAACAATCTGACAGTATGTTTTTGTATTCAAATATAAGACAAAATCAAACAAAAGGGAAGGAATATTTATAGGGCAGTTAATTTCAGAATTTTGTTACATACTAGTTGCAACCAAATCCAGCAACTAGTATGATCTATATTCAGGAGCAGAAGATTGTCCCTTAAGTATTATTCATGCAGAAATACCTTCAAGCAAAGCAACCAATGTTGACAATAATAGCACAGCATGAGTAGTATATGCATTCCCATCAGTCTTGGAGTGTGACTTTCAGTGCAGTTCTTTATATTTACTTCCTTACTGGGTTCATTTAACTGTTGCATGATGATAATGATGATGATGATGATGATGATGATGATGATGATGATGATGATGATTGGTTGAACAATCAGCCAACTGTTTAGACAGGATTTTTATTTTTATTCACCTATTGAATTCTTCCCAAGGACCTGGCATATGGTGTTAAAGGTATATTATTGCTACTTTGTTTTCATGTGGAAAGTTTATATTGATTGGATTAATGTAATATGTTAATTGCTGGTCTTCCAAGATCTTTCCTCTTAGTTTTATATCGATTTCCATTAAAACTGAAAACCAAGTGACTTGTGAATCATGGACTACAGATGTTTTGGTCACATTTACTCATCAGGTTTATGAATTTTAGAACCCACAAATAATAGTATATCATCAAATAAAATGTATAACTTTAGAATGCACGTTGTATTATAAAGATATTTCCTCTAAATTCACCACTCACTAACCACTCAGTGTGTTAGCTGATTATGTCAAAACTATATAGTCACATATGTTAACTTGGTCTGTGTTCCCCTTTGCTCAGTATTCATTCAGTAGACTTTCAGTGAAAGGTCTGTGATGCATGAAGAGTGCCACAGGACGTATAGGTCACTCTTGATTTATAATCACAATAGAGACTTTTGCAACCTTTTTTTCCCATAGTCGTTAAGTGAGACCATGAGTTGCAACCTCTTGCTAGCTTCTCCGTTGACTTTGCTTATCAAAAGCCATTTGGGAAGGTCACAAATGGCAATCACATGAATGCAGGACACTGCAACTGATGTAAGTGCGAACTATTGCCAAGCACTTGGATTGCAATCATGTGACTGCAGATTCGTAAGTAGGAGAACTGATCACAAGTCAGCACTGTTGTAACTTTAAAAGATAGCTAAAGGAAGAGTCCTAAACCAAGGACCAATTGTACAGAGGGAGACCAATTGTTCAATCTCAACTAGAAAAAACATAGATCAGGATCTCTGTGTCCTAGTTTCACCTGCTAGATTTGAGATGGTGTAGCCCTCTGCTATAATTTCTATTTCATCCCTTTTTGCAGTTCTAAAAAAATGGAATGGATGACTGACTTGATGTTGTTGTTACATTTTTTTAAAGGTGGCTGTGGTAAGAAACCAAGTAAATAATACTGAATGTAAGTCAGAATGCAAATATGACATTATTACATCAACATCCTACAAGCCAATGGAACCGTGTGAAGAAAAACCAGCAGAGAAATTACAAGTCGCTGAGAAGGCAAAAATCACTGATCCCAATTATAGCAAAGACCTAGATATCGATGATTCCCAAGGAATCCAGAAAGGAGAAAGAAGCACCCAAGAAGATACGGCTGTAGAAATCTCTGAAAATGAACAGATTCATGAAGACGGTATCACAGATTACTCTAAATCAATCACTGGCCAAGACATCTGTCTGGATCTTCAAAATCTGGATCTTCCCAGAGCAGATGCCGTAAACCCAAAACCCAGTGTCCTAAGGTGCTCACTAAAACCATCTGGGTATGACAAACCCCACTGGGTTGACTGAAATTCTAGAGATGAATTCTGATGACCCTCCAAAAATTGGGAAAGCCATTTTTACTATGAAAGAGCATTATTGGAAACTTCATCAGAAGCATCCATAACCATGCTTGTGAGCACTTTAATCCTTGCAGTAGAGTGGGTATTCATATAGCTTGATGGTATCAAACCTGAGATGAGAACTTACAGATGCCAAAGGACTGAATTGAAGCTACACTTCTATAGATACTTGGTAAAAAAATAAGTCTTATTGTAGTCGCTCCATTTTGAATAGATTCTCGTAAGATTCTAATAGAATGATTTCATGATATGCCAAGATGCTGCATTGACATCATTTTGTTAAGAAGCTGGTATTTTCTAAATATATTAGAATATAAATCCTATAATTTTTTGCCTTGATTATTGTGTGCTGGTGGGCTAGAATGGCTGGAGAGCACTATTCTGCCCTTTGTTCTCAGCGCAATTACTTTTATCCTGCCAAAAGTATGGTAATGTTTAAAGATAGGGGGGTTAACTGACAAGAGGCTTCTGTCCATACTGGTCAGTGGAAGAGACTGTGGGAATATTACAAGTGTAGTTTTCTATATGTAGTAGGGGCAGTTTGTGAAGTTGCCTTTTTTCTGATGGAAGAAAAATCCAAAAAGGCCAACTTTTAAAGAAATGCTAGAAAAATATAAGTTTCAGCTAAGATGGGTGTCAAATTCAAAATCCACGAGTGGATCCGGCCTGCAGGGTGCTTAGATCTGGCACGCAGGGCCACCATGGAAACAGCAAAGGACCAGCTCGTGGTGTATCTGCCAGCGAAAACGGAGCTCAGGAGACAGCGTGCAGCCCTCCTGAGCTCCGTTTTCAGCTGCAATAGCCTCCTGCAGCCCTCTGCCAGCTCTGGAAGGCCACACGTGGCAGAGTGCTGCAGGAGGATCCCCCCCTCCATCCCTACCTGGGCCACCACATCATGTGCCTCTGACACGAGTGACGTCAAGCTAGCCATGCCCATTCTGGCCCCCTGAGGTCAAACAACTCTGATGTGGCCCTCAGTGAAATAGAGTTTGACACCCCTGAGCTAAGACATTTCCACAGAGAACTTGGAAAGACCATAGTAAGTAGATGGAGCTATATTGTAGTCAAGGACTTTCACTTTATGTAAAATAGCTTACTGATTTCTGCATGTATTAGATTTGTATCCTACTATATATATATTATATATATATAATTAACTGTATGAACAAATGTTATCTTTGCAGATATTGTAAATACTTGCACTATTTCTGTCAAATAATTGGGCCACGGGAAATACTTGGGCCACATGTTTAGTGCCTACATTTACAGTATCTATTTTGCCACGTGATTATTAATCTTCACTCTGGGTTGGAAAGTGTTGCACAAGTAGTTTACCCCTGTGACAAATGCAATGGCCTGCCAGTATTGAGGATCCTGTTTGACATTTAGTCCATAAATTCAAGGAGATATAATCACCTTCCCAAACCTGATACCTCCAAAAAGTGCAATTCCTAGAATCCTCAGGGAACATAAAAATCAAGGATTTGTATTCTCAATAGAATTGAAAGTTCTAGATTAGTGAAACCAGACTAATTCATTATGCTTTACAAATAAGGGTTCTTAACTATAACTACTTAGATAACACTAAAATTTATTTGAGAGATAGTGAACTGTAGTGGTTAAGAAGTTGGATTACAACTATAGAGACCCAGGTTCAAGTCTTCCCACAGCCACAGAGGTTCAGTAGGTGAGTGGGCCAGTCATTCTCTGTTAGTCCACTGTTCCCCACAGAGTTACTGGGAGGGGGAATGGAGGAGTAACTGGTATCTACAAGTTAGATTGGTTTTGTGAGGAAAGGCAAGATATAAATCAGTAATACTTAGATCTAAACCCCAATAGATGTTAAACATTGAGATGACTATCATTTTATTATAGGATAGCTTTCCTAGACAATATATAACTTGCAGCAACTATATCAAGATAAAGACTGCAAGAGGAAAAAAAACCCAAGTAGTCCTCACTTAACAACTGCCCGGTTTAGCAATCATTCATAAGTTACAATGGTGCTGGAAAAATAACTTTATAGCCAGTCCTCCCACTTAACGACCATTGCAGCATCCCTGTGGTCACAAGTTCAAGATTCTTCACAACCAGCAGGTGTTTATGACTGTCGCAGTGCCTGCAGTTATGTGATTATCATTTGCACACTTCACACACAACTTCCAACAAGCAGAATCAATGGGAGATGCTGGCAGTAAAATCATAAGTGGCAATCCACACAGTGTCTTGTTTAACAACCACAGGTGTTTCACTTAATGAGGTCGCAAGGGCCAAAAGATATAAGAGCCATGGTGGTGCAGTGGTTAGAATGCAGCATTGCAGGCTACTACTGCTGGCTGCCTGCAATTTGGCAGTTCAAGTCTCATCAGGCTCATGGTTGACTCAGTCTTCCATCCTTCCGAGATGGGTAAAATGAGGACCCAGATTGTTGCGGGCAATATATATATGACTCTGTAAACCACTTAGAATTGTAAAGCACCATGAGGCAGTATATAAGTTTAAGTTATTGCTATTGCTATCTCACTTAATGGCCACATCACTTTGCAACTGAGTTGTCAGTTCCAGCCATTAAGCAAGCACTACCTGTAAAGTTATTCCAATCTTACCTTTTTTTTGTTAGCAAAAAGCAAACTGAAAATCATTAATTATCAGATAAGAGGAATTTTATAGAATTACTTATAAGGTTATATTTATAGATTTCTTGTCTTCTATTCGCCTTGAATATCTTCTTGACCTTAGGATTGGCTGCCGATTCCTCAATTCAGATACACAGTCACACTATGTATTGTGTATTTGTTGTGATCCAATATAGTTTAACTTTCCTCTTTAGCACATGGTTAGGTAATAGAGACAACCTAGTTTCCTTTACAGCTGGAAAGACCATGGCAACAATTCAGTAAACAAATTATCCATTAAACGACAGCTACACAAATCAGGAACACAACTTTTGAAATCGTATCCTTGCAGCTTACAAGATATTGCAAGCAGTAGTTTAAGAATAAAAGTATCTCCCAATTACATTGGGAGGGTAGCTTTTTAAAATTTGATACACAAAAGATATGCTTGCTTGGGGGGAAAGATTCAGATCTCATGACAGCAACACACCAGATGCTCCAGCCTCATAAATTAGGAAAAGATTATGCATAGCCAGCTGCACCATATAAATGCCCAGTTTTTTTATACCACACCATGACTCTTTGTATTTGTCATATGGTCTAGCATCTGGTCAGCCTAGTCCACCTCCTATATATCTGCTGGAGTGAGACATATATTTATTTTGGTGTTATTTATGTTCAGAGTTTCTTCCTATATTGGATTATTGTTTTGGTCTTAATGGTGAGGAGAAAACACACTTAACCAAAATGGTCAAGAAAATGAAAAGAACAAGTCAACCATAAATTGATACTAGCAGAAAATACTGAACTAGGCAAAGGCAGCTTACTCTGATGAGTTTGGGTTTTATACCTAATTACCCAAGTTTACAGTTTGTGGTGATTTTGTTTGGGGGGGAGGATTTTTTAATATATGTTTTTCTTTGGTGACTAAGCTTTCTAAACACCGTAGAATTAAGGCATTTTGTCTCTCCGTAGATACATTGTAGTCTGACTATACGGAGTTCAAAATCTGTTTATAAGTATTAATAAAGTAAACACACTTTGATCTTCAGAATGGCTGCAAAGTGTCTATTTGTATTCCGTTTTCCATTTTTAGCGAGGCATTCAACATAGGATCTATTGTTTCTTACTCTGAACTGGCTTGCGTGCCTTTAATAATATCACACAGATCAGGATGTTTGGTGAACATTTGTTCCTTAATTGACTGAAGTTAATTAAGAAGCCATCCCAGTGACTAAATAAAATAGTAAGTTTGAGAAAACCTCTCAGACAATACCTTGAGTATTCCAAAACTTGCTTTCAACACACATTCACACAAAAAAATGTTTCACAGAGGACATTTATCCAGTCCTAGTTAAACTGCTGCTTTTCAAACTTGTGATGCTCCAAATTTTCACATTGGGTGAACTAGTTCTTTTCTCATGTTTAACCAGGTTATGGCACTGTTTGTAGACGCATTTTTTCTCCTCAAAAAATTGGGTGGAAATGTCAGTGTGTCTTATAGACCGAATATGCCCCCGTTTTTGGCCTCCTGAAAGTCCCCCCGTGTGTCCCGTTTTTGTGAAAAAACGGGACGCATAGAGGGTTTTGGAGGCCTGCAGAATGCTCCTGGGGGCCGGGGAGGGCAAAAACCAGACACTCGGAGGCCAAAAACTATTTTTTTTCTTGTTTTCCTCTTCAAAATCTAGGTGCATTTTATACTCCGGTGCGTCTTATAGTCCAAAAAATACAGTATGTGCTATCTTTTCAACAGTTTTATTAGCCGTACAGTTTGGGACATAAACAATAGAACTCATTTCTTAATACAACATTTTATTATCCCAAATTCATATTTAAAACTTACTTTCAAAGTCTGAAAAAAATGAAAACAGTTCTGGTGCCTTTCCAATTTTCTCCCACACTTTAATAACACAAACTTAGAAACACCAGTGTATATGATCATTCAAGAGTTAGAAAAACAAGACTTTGCAGGACTAGAAAATTAATTATTGATGCTGAATATTTTGGTCACAAGTTCCAATTTGATTTCAAGCTAACATTTTTAGTATAAATTAAAGTGCATATAGCCAAACAAATACATGTACTGTGTTTGAAGATTGGAATATGTCTACATTTTTTAAAATCAAAGGAGCCTCTTTATTACATAAAATATTTACATCAAATACAGAAAACTCTTTCGGATCCTTATAGTCTGAGAATGGCTTCAGATCCAAATTTCATGAATAAGATGAATTGTTTTGGGTATGTAATTTCTTTTAACTAGAATGTTCGATGTTGAATTTCGGTAATTCTGTAATTATGATTAGAAATGCATATATGTATATATAGTATATAGCAAGACTTTGCTTTTGTGTAATTCAGATTATTTTGTTATGTTTTCAATATATTTTGCTCATTGTCTAAATAAATACTTTTAAATTAACTCGGAAGTCCCTACTTAATATTGTAGCATTCTTTCACATTTTATATAGGATTTTATTTTGTTTTAATATATCATTATGTGTTTAAATACCTTATTATTGGTTTTATATCTTAAAAACCAATGTTTAAGAACACTACTTAATTTTGAATAGCTAAGAAAGCATATTCCTTCAGAGTGCAATGCAACAATATCAGGAGAGTTTCGGGGATCATGAATCTAGACGGAAGTTTAGTAAGAGCTTGGAGCATGCAAGTTATAAATCATATAAATTTCAGAAATATTGTCAGTAGATGGCACTCTTGTTTTGCATTCAGCAAATGTAGAAGGCATTATCTGGACAGTACAGTAGATGACTCCAAGAGACTGGGAGCCTGCTTTTCATACGCAAAGTTGTACGTTTTTCTAATGAGACATTACACTTTTTCTTTCCAGCAAATCTTATACAAAATAAAGCCTTTCATGGTACATAAGTGACTGATTGATAATAAAACATGTATTTATCACATTTATAAATTCTTAGTGAATTGCAAAGATAAAAGTACACAGAACAATCAAAATCCAGTGGAAAATGCATTAAAAAAACCAATTTATAACCCCAGCCAAGGTAGCATCAAGGTCCACATGCTCCATAAGAACTCTGTCCTGAGTTTCTTCTGGAAAACAGTCAAAACAGTAGGCAACCTCACATCCACTGGGAGGCCTCTCCAAAGGATTGGTGTTGCCACCAAAAATAGTGCCTCCTAGCCTTGGCTCCTTTCACCTGCCTAAAGTGGGGAATTGCTAGCAGTTTTTTCCAGCTAGATCAGGCTGATTCCTGATCTATCAGTTCTTCAAGATAGGCCTGGTGAGAAAACACACTATCAAGGGCCACTGAAACTCTTATTTGCTGTGTAAGAACAGCCTGTCATATAAGGGTTTTGAGATTACCGTAATAGTAATTCTGTTTTGCTACAATTCAATTTAAGAAAGAGTGATATCACTGCCCTGACTTAGTTTTGCTGCTTTCCAGATTCTTTTTTTTAAAAATTAAAAGAAAACAGCAATACCTCCTAAAAAATGGTAACCCTTGTGGAATACTAATGGTGCTATCTACAAGAACATGGTTGCAATAGCATCTTACCTTCTTGATGCAGAACTAATTCCACTGGTTTTGCCTTGTGCCCCTTCCGATGTTGTAGAGCAGGGATGTCAAACTTGGTTTTATTGAGAGCCACATCAGAGTTGTGTTTCACCTCGGAGGGGGGGGGGGCGTGGCCAGGGGGGGCATGGCCAGCTTGACATCATTCGTGTGATCAAATGCCACTTTTGCTAGTAGTCTGTTTTGCTAGCACTCTGTCAGCGAAAACTGAGCTCGGGAGGGGCGTGCAGCCCTCCTGGTCCCCGTTTTCGGCTGCGACAATCTCCTGCAGCCTTCTACCAGTGAAAACAGAGCTCGGGAGGGCCACACACTCTGTTTTCACTGGCAGAGGCACTGTGGGCTGGTCCTTCGCTGTTTCTTAGTGCGGGCCTGCAGGCCAGATCTAAGCACCCCATGGGCCTTGAGTTTGACACCCCTGTTGTAGAGTACAGTTCTCACCCTTAGAGAGCATGCCCATGGCTGGATAGGAACGAATCCAATAAGCCTCCAAGATAGCAGGTTGAAGAAAGCAGATAGGAATGAAATAAACTTTAGATTAGCTTCAAGAAAAAAGAAACCCAATACTGGGAAACCTTGGCAACATAAGGAACTGATGAGAAGTTGAAACACTAAAGTGGGCAATGTCTCAGCTGTTTAAATAAGATTAGCAGGGAAGCAGAAATCGTGATTTATACTATCCAGCTGATATCTGATTATTAGGTAGTGTTAAAAATGTGAAGGAATCCAAGGGCCACTTACAGAATAGCCAAGGGTGGCATTTGTCATCCAGGATGTAGATTGCCTTCTTACTGACACATACAGTACGATACTAAGCAATGGGGGGGGGGAGAGATCACCTAAGACTTCTAAGCATGTCTCAAGATAAAGTGAAGGCTTATTCATGCATCAGAAATGATTCCCAGCAATAAATAATAGATATTTTCATTATCTAATTATTAACATGCCCAAACAGAGAAGAGTTTCTTACAAAACGATGGTAAAACTGAAGTTGAACATTTTTCCCAAGAGGCCCAGATCCATGTTTCCTACCTAATTATTTGCCCAGTAAGTGTGTGAAAACAGGTAAATTAAAAGAAAGTGATCATTCCAAAATTGTCAATGAGTCTCATAGCTACAAGCAGCTACCCCATATAACTTTTTTATGATAGGAAACTGGATTTCTGTAACAAAGAAACAATATTTTGCATCATACAAATTTCAAAAATATCTTTGGGCCCAAATATACCCCCAGGAAAAATCTTCTAATTCTTTACAAAGTACTTCATCGTTACAGTAAACTTGGGCTACTTTAATGCATTCTACTTGAGACTGTCCTTGAACCAGAGTTGGTCCAGAATGATCCAAACAATGATGGGTGCACCACATTACATGTGTTACCAGTTTATTTATTCTGGATACAATTCATGGTACTGATTTTATTATTATTATGTATTTACTTATTGATTTAAATTTATTTGCAGGTCAATTCCACATTTTAAAGCAGGGTGTCAAACTCGCATCATCACACCATCGTCATGTGACGTATCGCGACTTTTCCCCTTGACTAAACCGGGCATGGGTGTGGCCAGAGGATGACGCATCCAGCCCGCAGGCCACAAGTTTGACACCTCTGCTTTAAAGCCTTTCAAGGCACAGGGTCTGCCTATTTGAGGAACTGCCTAACTCCTGTTATCTCTACCTGTCTGGTCCAATTCAGTGGATAGGTATGCTCCAGGTCCCATCAATTAAAGAATGTCATACCCTGGGATTTAGGAAACATGCCTACTCTATTGTAATTCCTGCTATCTGGAATGAACTCCCCATCCCAACCCTGGAGATTTGTGTGGCTCCTATCCAGGAGTGAAATCCAGCAGGTTCTGACAGGTTCTGGAGAAGTGGTAGCGGAAATTTTGAGTAGTTCAGAGAAGCAGCAGTGGAAATTTTGAGTAGTTCGGAGAACCGGCAAATACCATCTCTGCCTGGTCCCAGAGTGGGTGGGAATGGGGATTTTGCAGTATCCTTTCCCTGCTATGCTCACCAAGCCACATCCACCAAGCCACGTCCACAGAACCGGTAGTAAAAAAATTTGAATTTCACCACTGCTCCTATCCTTATGTTATTCAGGAAACAAGGCCTTGGAAACATGGTGATTATGAAGCATTGTTTTGCCAAATTTATTTTGAGCTACTTTGATCATGTTTTGAATACTTTTGCTCTTTTGGTCAGTGGTATCTCTTATATGCTTTTATATATAATTGATTCTTAGTTGCAAGCCACCCAGAATCATTTGAGACTTAGGTGGCTTATCTTTTGAAAAGGGATTAGAGTGAAGATACTTTTTTTACCAATTTAAAAATGTGGTAGATGATTGTTAGATAGAATATAATAACATATTGTGTAATGCCTCACAACTGTTAAGTCATTAATCATGTCTCTTGACCAAGCTAAAAATCATTTTTATTTTAGCAGAATCACTCTGAATGTCAGAAATTCTTTCTAATCATAAGGACAGTTTGATAGTAGAGCCAATATTGCAAGAGGTGAAGGCGGTGAAGATATGCTAATTGCCTAGATGGCCATCAGTGAGGATGCTTTAATTTGGATGCCTGCATTAAGCAAATGTTTACACTGAATGGTCTAGACTCTAGAGTATTTCTTCCAACTGTACAATTCTACAAACCTTAGAATAAGAATACCAGTAACGGTTGGTAGATCAACCCTTCCAAAGATGGTTAGCATTGGGCTGGCAGCTTATGATCTGTGGAATAAAAAGCATGTGGGGAAACAATAAAGTTAGGAGAATTACTTTGTAAAAAGAATTCTGAAGACTGGTATTAGCAAGAAACTAATTAAAAATCACCTTTATTTGAGGATTAACAATGTGATAAGGAAGTCTGTGCTATTTAGTTTATCTATAACTAAAAGCCTTCATCAAGGGGGGAGGAGAGTAAGAGATCCAATTTTTGAAGGAGGAAGTGATGACCGTCTCAAATAGTCCTGATCAATAGGACTGTTCTTTTGTAGACACGTATAGTAAGGAAAGAAGATGGTGCAGTGGTTAGAATAGAGTATTGCAGGCTGATTCACTGCTCACTGCTAGCAGTTTGATCCTGACCAGTTCAAGGTTGACTCAGCCTTCCATCCTTCCAAGGTTGGTAAAATGAGAACCCATATTGTTGGGGCAATATGCTGATTCTGTAAACTGCTTAGAAAGTGCTGTAAAGCACCATGAAGCAGTATATAAGTCTAAGTGCTATTGCTATAAAAGTACAGGAGTCCCCCCTATAACTATTCCTGTAAATGTTTGCTAGGCCTATAGGATCAGAAAACCAGCGCATGTAATGTTGAATCTTATCAATAGAGAGTTTGGTCAGAAGAATTGAAAAGGGTGGTGTGTTGCCTGTGAAAATCTCTCTGTGCTGAATTATCACAAGTAGACAACAGGACAAATGTATTTACTCATTGCATATTGCAAATATTCAACTTTATTTGTTGAAATAACTTTTTCAGCACCCCGGTAAAAAATGAAAATACTCTTTTGTAACTGATATATTAGTGATGCTGGGTTGTTTTTACATGAGTAAGAAAGTGGTCTACCCACTTTATGGAGGAGATATATAGGAGTGAAAGTCTCAGCTTTGTAACCCCTTTGAATAGAAATCCTGAAACTTTACCATGGCTGCTATTCTCCATCAGAATTGGCTGAATAGAAAGTATTTTTCCATTGTTCTAAACATGAAGTTTAAAAGATATCAATTCATCTTATTTCTTTGTTAAATTTATACCCTGCTGCCATTCTTGGAGGGATATTTTATTTAACCTTGATAGAATATATAATAATTTTAAAGAGACAAATATTTTTTTTTTGTTTTGAGACTGATAGTTTAATTCTGCTGTGTGTTTGAATTACTCTCTGGATTCTTTCCATCCAAATATAATTGTTTTTAAAAATGCTTTGCCTATCTGGCTGATTTTTTTAAAAAAAATCTCTTCATATAATTTCCTTCCAAATTCTTGTGTGGTTTCCCTTCAGTCCATCTGGCAATATGTGATGCTATTTGGACGAAATCTGAGAATATTATTTACATTTCTAATTTAGAGGGCTTCCAGCAACATTTGTGTGCCTTGGTCTCCTAAATGCATTTTTCAATTTATGCATTTTGGGCGAAGAGAAAATTATTTCCAGCTCAACAATAGAGCTTTCATCGGAGCCTTCAGTTAGAGAAATAAAACAAAATTTATCATATTAACTATTTGATTTTTTTTCAAAAACACAATTATTAGATATAATAAAACGTAAGTTACTGCATCCACATTTACTTCTTGGCTTATTCAGACAGGGCATATTTTTAAAAAGTCCCACTAACTGAGAAACAAGGTTAGCTTTTTTAAGTAGCCATAATTTTATAACTAGAACAGCTGTTTGAAAGGGAAATCAGATAGCCACTATTTCTGATGCATAATCGTAAGAAAGTTGGATAGCTAAAGTGAAATAACAATCTTAAGCAGAGTTCTGTTTTTGAGATAGAATTTATTTTTCTAATTCAACTGTTTAGCACAGTCTGGTAATATTGTGCTTTTTTTAAAAGGATAATTTTTGATTGTGTTCACATTTTTCAAAGAACTTTAATTCAGGGGAAGGAACCAGTATCTCTTATACAGTAACTGGTACACACCAGTGGTGGGTTGCCCCCGGTTCAGACCAGTTCGCAAGAACCAGTAGTAAAACCGGCGGGAGGCTCCACCCACCACTCCGGATGTCATCATAGGCAATCTGCGCATGCACAGAAGCTTCTACGCATGTGCAGAAGCTTCGCTCGCGCATGCACACAATTCTGTTACGAACCGTTAGTAAAGGTAAGTAGAACCCACCCTGGTACACACATATCAAGTTGAATTGACATATACATAGGATAGAAGAAATAAAATTCAATTATAAACATAACCAAGTCTATTTTCACTGTATGGGTAATCACATAGACAGCATCTAAGGACAAAGGTTATTCTGTTTTTACACTAATTGATACATTCTGTCCAATAGCTCTCATATTGCCCTTAACAAAGAATTCATATTCTTGTCATAACTAATGACAAGGTGGTTTTCTGTATAAACTTTCTCCAATCCATAATAGCCAACCCCACATTAGTCTGTAGGAATCCAGTCTAGAATGGAAAACAGCATGAAAGTCTGAGATTAGGTCACCATGTTTTTACTGAAAACCCCCTCAGAGTCAAGACCTATGAGATGGGCAGCTATATAAATATGATGAGTACATAAAGGGTACAGAGAAAGGTACATTTGATGGATAAGTTTCATAGCATGAAAAAAATACTTTAGGATATCATTATCATATGGAGATCCAGGGACACTTGCCAACTTTAGAACCGTCTGAAGATCTTTCAGTCTTATTTGCAGTAAAACTCAGTTTCCTTAACATTTTTAGCCTTTAGCTAGCTGAGTTCAAACATTTAGATCAATAAAGATCAAGAATAAAAGAGCCTGAGTCTACGCATCTTATTAAGCTATCATGTGGTTAGTTTGGCTTCAGTTCAGAGCATGAGTGTCAAACTTGCGATGTCACGTTACCATCACGTGACATTTTCCCCTTTGCGGAGTTGGGGTGGGTGTGGCCTGCACATGACGCAGTTTGAAACCCTTGGTTTAGAATGTTGTGTGAATCTGACTTTAGCACTGATACATCAAACTTTACCTCTTGGTGTGAATCAATTATCATTTAGGCCATAAACCATGGTTTAGCCCACTACGGAAACTCAGAATCAGTTTCACCTTTTCAAATATCCACTAAGTGTGAGGAAGTTCTGAAGATGAATTAAATCAGCAGTACCAATTTCGAAATGAACATCCTTGCCAGAATAAATGCACAAAATTTTATCTACACAGACACTTGAAGATCAGTCACATAGGATTGCCAAGTATTCTAATAAAATAATCCCATTTTTATTTGCCAGCTTGCTAGGCTTTCGCCTCCCAAAACACCATGGCGATTTGTAAGCTTTATGCTTTAGTGCAATGGGTGAATCCAGCCACAAAATGGGTATAGAACAACAAAGTTCTATACTCATTTTTCACCGATAGACCAGTTGCTGTGTGCCAACACATTGGCAGATGATAATAAGCAACTGACACACCCCAAAGGATGAGAACCATCGAAGTGATGCCTCAACTTGTACAAAATGAGTCAGTGCAAGAAGCCAATGTTACTGGCCTTGCGGCTATTGATGTCACATGATTAGCAGCATAACCCTATATGTGCCTAGTGACTTTTTCTATAGGATTGCTGCAGTTCCGTATACAATGTCCTGGAAATGAATGGAACTCAGTGGAGTTTTATGATTCTGTATAATCTTATGTAGAGTTGCACTATAAAGAAATGTGGTACAATCTCACGGCTGATTGTCATTGTTGAGTAAATCAATATTTATGAAATGAATATAAAATAATTATTTATTTTTAGATGATGGTGTCACAGCAGACAACAACATTAAGATGCATCCTCTTCTTGTTAAAACCCTAGGAAGAGATGTCTTGGTTCTAAAGCTGTGCTGGCAGGTTTGGGGCATTTTAAGTACTGTTTCCCCCAAAATAAAACATCCCCTGATAATAAGCCCAATCGGGCTTTTGAGTGCATGGCAATAAGGCCAAGCGCTTATTTCAGGGTTCAAAAAAATATAAGACAGGGTCTTATTTTCAGGGAAACACAGTAAGTAAAAGTTCTTCTACCCCATAAATTGTGAATGTCTTTTCATTCAACTGAAATGTTTTTCTTCAATTAATCCAAATGGTTAATCAAGTAAAATACCATAGGATACACCATTTCATAAGGCTGTGTAACAGGAAATGAAAATTGGCACAATCCTTCTGGCAGATATGCTGATGTTCAGTAGTACTGTACCTTGTCACTAAAATGACAGACTTCCACAGGATTTTGCACCAGTGCCAAGAACCGTGACTTTGTGTTCCAAATGTGCATTCTCCTACAAAGATGAGAAAAACATTTTGGGAGGAGGGGGGGGAACCCGACTTCTCCTGTGGCCCTTCACAGCTTCCCAGTGCCCCCACACGTAGCCATTTAGAAACAGGCAGATTTCATAACGCTGCGGTAAATACGGTAAGACTTAACCAAAATCAATCAATCAATGAGACAACTTCCTGGAAGAAAATTCTGTGTAAAATTGTATTGCCCTTAGCTAAAAGTGGGAAGGGGGGGGGGAGAAAAGATGAAACAAGAGCTTAGTTTTTGACGAGATTTTCCAGCATCTTAGCCCTGCAATTAGGCTGTCGCCCTCCCCCACCCCCACCCCCACCCCCCAAAATATTTAAACCCCAGCCAGGCCCTACATGGGGATAGCATTCCGGCGGAGGGCGTTTTAACCCCGATCTACCCAGATCCCACCTCGCCGCTCTTCAGTTTTAAGCAGGCGTGGCTTCTGACTGCTTGGATTCGGGAACCAAGGCGCGAGAGCGCAACTTGCAAGCAACTAGCCCGAGCCTTGGAAAGCACGCGAGGCGCGAAGCCCACGGTAGGATCGCTGCGCGTCGCTCCCTCTCCCGGAGGAACGAGCCAAAAGCTCGGCCAGGCAGGAGTCGCTAAGAGGGTCAGCCCTGGGAACCCTGGAAGTTCTCCTCTTGGCTGGTTGGGGTCGCCGCTTGCTGCCGCCCTCTGTGTCCGACCCCAATTGAGGAGAAGGTGGCGGAGACGAGCATCATGCAACGCACAGGCGCTGTCCCTTCTCAATGAGTGACCCCGCGGCGTCAGCTCTCTGGCTCCTCCTGCTCCGGCTGATCTTCCCCGCGCCTCCTCCAGAGGCGGCAGGTAGGTTATGCCGGGGGTCGCCGGGGGCAGCTTCTTCTTAGCTTTGGACGTAAACCCGAGGCGTTGAGCCGCTTCTGCTCCTGGGACGTTTTGCTGAGAGAGACGGATGTGTTGATAGATGAAGATGCTAATCAATTTTTTTTTTATTTTTTTTAAAGGCGTCCTGCAGCAATAATGGGTCACAGTTAGGACTTGGAATCTGCTTTAAATCTATTATCTGCAATATTAGGACAGGGACGCCACTCAATACCTGCAGAGTGGATGAATCATTGGTGGTGGTGGGTGGCAACCAAGCTTATTTATTATTTATTTATTTATTTATTCAATTTATATGCCGCCTTTCTCCGGAGACTCAGGGCGGCTCACTTTTTAAAGTGGCACTCTGTTTATACAAAAGGCATGCAAGCCTTAAATAGGCTTACAGAAAATGTGCAAGGTTGAACCTGATCCCACGGGTATTCGGATTAGAATGGGCTGGGTTGTTTTCCCATGTGAGCTTTCAAATTGTCTGTGGTGATTCTTTTCTTGCATTGTTGGACAGCTCACTCTTTGGAGAGAGAGGGGAAAAAAAGAGCCCTGCTGTTGCTTTGAAGTTACTTTTAGGGATGGGTGCCTCCTCCGCCCTGCAGTTTTCATAGATCTATGTACCAGCTATTGCAGTGGAGTGGGGGGTGGGGGGGTGTTAGATGGTTGCACTAAGACCCAGACCCAAATCTTCATTCAGCAATGAAGCTTCCTGGCAGATTTTTGAACAAATTGTTCTCCTAGAGACAGTGAGAAATCCACATGTGCTGTCTTGATTTTCTTGGAGAAGAAATGACATACCAGTGCAATTGGGTTGGAAATGCTTTTTTTAAAGAATTGTAAAGATAACGATGGGCTGACATAAAAATAGCATTGGCAAAGTTATCGTGTATCATTTAAAAAATAAATATACTATGTTTAAAATAAGCTGCATAGAATTCTGCATTATGTCCTGAGTTCTCACAGACATTTGAGCAAGGTTATAATGAACTTGATGGCTTAACTTTAATATTGGTTAAATTTAATCACTAACCTCAATTATGAATCCAGCTGGTTTGATTATTTTATGGTTTACTGTTTTATGCAAATTCAAAACATAGTTAATTCTATAACCAGATCAACACAACTATTGATTGTTTGCACACATACAGTACAAATAAACCCAGACTTGAACAGAACTTCAGTCTTTTATTTGTACTATGGAAAGTTTATTTAACTTAAAAAGCTATATAAGAAGAAATTGCTTAACAATTGCTTAACGCATTGTAAGCCGCCCTGAGTCTCCGGAGAAGGGCGGCATATAAATCAAATAAATAAAAAAATAAAAATAAAAATAAAAAGAAATGTGCAAAAATAGAAAACTTATTTAAAAGCAACAAAAGAAAACAACAACAAACTTAACAAAAAAGGGTAAACCACCTATAGATATTATATATCCTAAAATATCAAAACATGCTTAACCTATCTAAATTAAAGAAAATAAATTATGATTGTTTAGTGTTACAAATTGTTTCAAAATCTGTGTCAAAGTAGAATATATCATGTCATTTTTATTAGTAGATAGAACTGCCTTTATTAGTAGATAGAACTGCCTTTTCAAAGATAAATAAAGTACACATCTCTTGAATCTACTCCTTAATATCAGGAATAATACTACCTTTCCAATTTCTCAAAATAATTCTCTTCAGACCTGATATAACCATAACGCCTCAAAAATAATCAGAACCCAAAGTTTTGGAACGTAGTTAAACATAACACTAACATCTTTAACATAACATTAACATCTTTAATTTAAAAAATCTCCATTAATGTACTTAAGTAATTAAAGTATTCCCAAATTTTGTCAGTAATTTACAAGACCAAATCATATCAGTCAAGTAACTTTCAAATTCAAGTATAGGTAGTCTTCCCTTGCCATTGCTATAAAGTGAATCATCAGTTATAAAGTGAATCATCATGTGACCATGCTCAATTCATGATATCAGTGCCAGCTACAGTTGTGAAATGAATCAGTTATGATCATTAAGCATGACATCACATGACTACAACTGGTGACTTCCCACCGACTTCCCCATTGACTTTGCTTGTTGGAAGCTGGTTATGAAAGTCATAATTGGCAATCATGTGACCACGGGATGCTATGACCATAGCAATAGCACTTAGACTTATATACTGCTTCCCAGTACTTTACAGCCCTCTCTAAAAGTTTACAGAGTCAGCATATTGCCCCCAACAATCTGGGTCTTCATTTTACTGACCTTTGAAGGATGAAAGACTGAGTCAGATTCAAACTGCCAAATTGTAGGCAGCCGGCAGGCAACAGAAGTACCCTGCAGTACTGCATTCTAACCACAGTGCCACCACGGCACACCATCATAAATGCATGCCAGTTGCGAAGCACCCAATTGCTATCATGTGCTGGACAGGTCTTAAATCTCCTCTTTCAGCACCATTGTATCTGTGAATGATTGCTGGAAGAACAACCAATAACCAAGGACCATAGGTGGTCCTTAGTTAATAACCTTCATTGGAACTCTCAATGCCACTGCTAAGTGAAGCAGTCATGAAGTGGAAAATCACAGTGACCACCACTGTGTTTTCCAGCCAGAAGAAATAAGACTGCTCAGTTTTATACGTTTCACGTGTTTGGTTGTTTTCTAATCACTCCCCTACTCTTGACAGTGCTCAAGTGTTTTATACCCATCGAAAACAATGTGTTTGCACTGCAGCCCAGGGCTGGGAGCCATGGCTGTGCTACCCAAACAGCTTACACGCACGTGACTGAAGGATGGTGCAAAGGTGCTGCAAAGGTGGCGATAAAGTTTTTTTTTTTTCAGTCTAACTTCAAACGATGGCTGAACAAGGGGATTGCTAAGTGAGGACTATCTGTTCCTGTAGAGTTTTTCCATAAAGTTAATTATTCAATAAGTCTCATCGTCAAAATCTAATCTGCAACCAAACAGGTCCATACAGGCCCATCTCTTTGCTGTTCCAGAAGCAAATCACTTTTATACTGTATATCGACCCCAGGAATTGCCAGGAGCTTAGTGGAAATAAGAACTTTCCCAAAAATGCCCACAAAACTTGATACTCTATTAAATTTTCAACATATATTATAGATATAATCAGTAAAATACAAACCCAGTGATCATTTTTAACTTCAACCTATTGAAATTGTATCCTTATAATTAAAACAAACTGTCCACACTAGCATTAAAAATGGGAATAGATATTATTTTTATGTTATTTATTTGTATTCCGCCTTTTTTATTTTTACAAATAACTCAAAGCATCAAACATATCCCACACCCCTCCATCCTGTTTCCTCACAATAACAACCTTAACCACAATAACAACCTTAACCACAATAACAACCTTAACACAATAACAACCTTAACCACCAAACTGTCTCTCTATTAAAATTTCAGGATTACTTTTTACATGTGAAAATACTATATGGCAGCAAAAAGCAACCTCTATTTTTCAATGCCTAAGAAGGGAGATGGAACAATTTTCCTGCAACAACTTCTGGTCCACCCAAGAGTGTTCATTCTGTCAAAGCCCCTCCATCTATTTTAATTCCCCCCAATTTTTTATGTGTGAATCATAATCTAATTGTTTATTTTTTTTTCCTAATAGCATCACATTGTTTTTTGCCCAGCCCATGGAATGTCCATTTTATCTCCAGAAACATGAAGAACATCCTGCATTGGTTGCCACCAGAAGGAATAGAGGAGAACAAATTAAATTATAAAGTGAAGTATTTGATGTAGGTTGGCTATTGGGTTTTATACTGTGTATATTGTAAAAGTCAGCTATTTCCATGTGCAAATGCTTTGTTCTGCTTCCATAAGAGGCTGAAGACTATAAACGAGGGAGGCACCTCTTGTGGTCCTAAGGTTAATTTTCAAATTTCTACATCAGAGGTTTATTCAGTCTTCCACTGAGAAATATCTCTTTTGTAACTGGCTGCCTGGTAGAGTATTAAGAGGAGAAAGCACATAGCATAGAGCTAATGGGTATTTCTACTCAGTCCTATTTACTGCTTGCTGAAGCTCTCAGTAGAGTACAGGTAGTCCTTGACATACATCATTTCATTTAGTGACTTCTGACTGCTCCGAAAAAAGTGACTTATGACTGTTTTTCTCACTTATAACCGTTGCAGCATCCCAATTGTCACATGATCAAAATTCAGATGCTTGGCAACTGGTTCGTATCTATGATGCTTGCAGCGTCCTGGGATCATGTGATCAACTTTTGTGACCTTCTGATAAGTAAAGTCAATGAGGAATCCAGATTAATTTAACAACCATGTTATTAACTTAACATATGCAATGATTCACTTAACTACTGTGCCAAGAAAAGTTGTAAAATGGGGCACACTCACTTAAGAAATGTTTTACTTAGCAACAGAAATTTGGGGCTCCATTGTGGTTGCAATGTGAGGATTGCCTGAAGGCTGAAAAATGCAGTATTAGACATGAAAAAGCTGCCCACTTCTCAAGGATAACACTAAATTTTTGAAATAGTTCAGACCCCTTGAAAAATTGGTCCTTACATCTTATTTTTGCTGCTTCATCAAATACCCCTCCTTACTAGTACCTAATTAAGAAATAAATTATCTATTTAAAAGTCATAGTGTTCTACAAGAAGGGAACATAAGATAACTTTATTTTTTTTTAACATATGGGGACATCATAGAATAGTAATACTCTGCCACACTTCAGGCTGGATTCTAAAAGTGCACTTTACAACAGGTGTATCATGAATGTAGCAGGCATAGCAATTCCTTAACGCAGCCCTGACTTTTCCCAGGACTGTGTAACAGTTCTACAGTTAGCCAGGGATCCCAGGGAAAGATATAGCTGCTTTAATGAGTTGCAATCACAGCTCACATAAAACTCACCAGCAGATAATTCCAAAAGCAGAAATTATTGTGCTATTTTTGACACAGCTACCCCTGCCATGCCCCAATGCACTTTTTTTGGAAGAGATTCCCAGTGCACTTTATGACATCCCAAAACAGGCTATTTAATATTTAAACAACAACAAAATCTTTCAAAACTCACTCTTTCTCTCTTCCCCAGTGTTCAACTCCAATTAAGGATTAATTGCAGAAGTGCTAATTTTGTCTCTTTTTCTTTTACCTTTTGATATTCAGATATGGCACGGATAAATGGATTAAGTATCCAGAATGTAAGAATATCAATCAGACCTGGTGTGACCTCTCACATGGAACATACAACCACAAAGAACAATATCATGCCAGAGTGAAAGTCTCTCTAAAGGGAAATTGTTCTGTCTGGGCAGAATCACCCAGGTTCAATCCATTTACAGACAGTAAGGACAATTAATATATATTCATAACTGTTGTGAGATGCAGGACAGCCACTGGTGTTAGATATTTGTGATTTCAACCCATGTCAGTCACCACTGATTTCCTGCAACAGATACATGTTGGAATATGCAAAATGTATGTTTAGTGAAAGAGGAACTGGTCTAAACACAGCCTGAGGATTGTTCTATAGCAGGGATGTCAAACTCGATTTCATTGAGGGCCATATCAGGGTTGTGTTTGACCTCAAGGGGCTAAGTGGATGTGGCTGGGGTGGGCATGGCCATCTTGATGTCACTCATGTCACTTGTGGGGGCGACTGTGGTGGCCTGGGTGGAGCTGGGGGGGATGGCCTCCTACAGCACTCTGCCAATGAAAACAGAGCTCAGGAGGCCCAGCATGGCCCTCCCGAGTCCGTTTTCGGCTGCCACAGCCTCCTCCAGCATGCTGCCAGCTGCCGTCAGGTTGTAAATCAGTGCCACGGGCCAGTCCTTTGCTGTTTCCAGGGTGACCCTACAAGCCAGATCTAAGCACATCACGGGCCAGATCCGGCCTGCAGGCCTTGAGTTTAACACCCCTGCTCTATAGAAATAAATGAAAGCAGATGGTCTCTAGGAACAAAGACTGAATATGTTACAGTTAAGGTTCAGCTCAGGCTTTTGCTATAATAAGTTTTATGTGCACTGCAGTTCCATTACATTCTTTGAAATACAAACTAATTATTCCATTAATTGCTGAATGATCAAGAAAAGTCCAATTTCTTGCTGCAGAAGAAAGCCTCCTTCAAAATGTAAACAGCAGCTTCAGAGAAGAGTTTGGTGTGGGGGTTTTTTCATAACACCTAAGGGGAAGCCCTGAAAGAATAGTTAAAGTACTTGTCCCTGACTGCATTGTTCTAAGGCTGTTGTGGTGTCTCTGAGGCTGCCATTTATGAAATAGGATGCTGTTGCACTTTTGCTATTAGTTAGGGGTATATATCTGACTTGTTGAATTAAACAGAGAAAGCCAGTGATTCAAAACAGATTTTTTTAATCTTCCTGGATATTTGAGTCTGCTGCTATTGGGATCCAATAAAATTCTGCTTCTGGTCTGTTTCTCCAAAGTTGTTGAAGTTGAAAAGGGAAGCTCCATGGGAAACAGACACAAGAACACACTTCCATTTTCTCCCACAGATATTAATCAAAACAATACAGAGATTAAAAATCTCAAAATCCTTGTTCAATATAACTTGTCTTATTTAACTTCTGTGGCCTTCTGTGCTTGCATGCACCCATAACAATCCTTGCATGTAATAGCAATGTTTCTTAGCATGCATCCTAGAACAGAGAAAGGGCTAAACTAAAGTCTACCATGTTGTTTCAGAAACTTGTTTATTATTCTAGAACAGGTCTGTCAAATTGGCAGCTCGCGGACCAGATGCATCATGTGCAGGCCATGTCGACTCCAGCTCCACAAAGGCAAAAAACATCACGATATGTCATGTGACACGATCGAGTTTGACACCCGTGTTCTAGAATATACTTATGAATAAAGGCAAATATATGTGCCCCAGGATAATGTTGCGGGAGCCATCTGGGTCGATCACTGGGACCAGAGGGTTAGTCTTCTGAGCTTTTGGACTGGTGCTGGAGCCCATCTTCAGGGAACTCCATTCTGGTGAGAGAGAAGTTCCCTGAGGATGGATTCCAACACAGGTCCAAAAGTTACCAGATTAAACTTCTGGTTCCAAGCTGACCCAGATTGGATCCTGCTAGAATATACTTGTCATCAGAGGAAAACCAGTGTGCAGGGGGTGACTTAGCATGAATAGAAATGCAACGGCATTCAGGATCACGTGTCTTATTGCTTATGAATATAGAAATAGTGTTGCTTGTATATAGAACAAGTATTTTATTGATCAGACTGTGCTTATAGAACTAAACTCATTGCCCTGAGGCATGCTTCCTGATAGCCCAAGAGTCATAAAGGTTGATTTTTTTACAGCTTCTAAAGTGCAATAAAGATATTTATTGCACTATGTAGATTCAGTGAGAAGTCTGGACTAGTCTAGTAGCTTCATTTTTCTCTCTCTCTGATTAAAAAAATCCTCATATTTCATCAGGAACTGCTTTTGAATCACCCCGCAATTTCAAAGCCAGGTTGGCCATATGGTATGCATTCAAAGGCAAATTGATTATGAAAACCAATATAAAAGCCTTTTGATTCATGGAGAAACTTTCTCAGGTTTTCTTTTTTTTTTTTTTTTAGATCCAGCTCAATATACTGAATTTTCTAAATACATTCAAATTAAGAATTGATGGGAAATTATTAAAATTTTTCTTATGTAAGTCAGACTACCCAACTTGGTCCTCTCTGGTTGTGTTGGACTCTTACGTTTCCTCATGTCTAGCCACAATGATCAATGCTGATTTGGAAGGATGATCAATGTAGTGAAACGATCTGGAGAGGTACCATTTGGAGTAGGCAAGCCTAAACATGTGTTACGGAAAAGTTCAAGATAAAAAATAAACCAGATAGACCAACAAGGAAATTCTGTCTCGGTTGGTTTTGTGTTCTTATTGAGGGGGTCCATGATGCTCTCTGAGATTTATTGTTTCCTTGAAGACATTTCATTACCCAAACTAGGTAACAACTTCACTGCTAGGTAATATCATCATCATTAGCATTGAAGATGTTACCTAGCTTGGGTAATAAAACATCTGCAAGAAAACAAGTAAGCTCAGAGAGCACCAAGGACCCCACATTTCAACCCTGAACTACAAATATTCTCCTTTATTGTGTTCTCATTCTTATAAATAATGATATATGTTTGCTTTTCAGCGACTATCGATCCACCCGCATTTGCCCTCTCGTCTACCGAGAATTCTATTTCAGTCACCGTGGTTCCCCCCGAGAAATGGAAGGCAAATCCCAGGGAGGAACCGGTATATTTGCACGAAATATACTCGGGCTTACAATATAACGTGTCGGTATTCAACAAAAACATAAATAAAAGAGTAAGTTTGAACATGGAAAATGGAAACTATTGTTTGGCAATTTGAATGGATTGTGCTACTGGCGAAATAGAGATGATGTTCTCCTGGCTCGTGATGATGTAGACCGGTTTAGCTCAAACTCAGTGACTTTGAGATGAGCGGATGCCAACTCCACCCATACTAAAGGTCCTGGGATTGAAAAACACTGATGTAGATGGACAAAGATAAAACCCAAGCATGTCTTCAGGGACAATAACTGTAGATGCAGCGAGATGCACTCAGAATGCCTGATCTGGGTTTATAGATGTTCCCAGTTTAATGTTTCCCTTTTTTATATGCACATCTGTAGTAGCAAACCTGCAGTCTAGAGCAGAAGATTATATGCGAGGAGGAGACTTCCCCATGTTGGAGGGCCTCCTTGTTTTCAAAATCTGTTTTCTTTCCCAAGCTCCCCCTCCTCCCCCCTGCTTGAGGAGTTGCCAATGTATATAAATTCCTGGAAAAGAAAGATGCACCTGGAACTCCAAGGCAGGTTGCCAGGTCAAATCAATGCTTATCCTCCATCTAATTATCTTAAATATGGCAAGTGTGGACTGAAAAAAAAAAAACCAATTCAGGAAACAGGGCCAGAAGTAGAAACGAGAAGCAAAACTATGAAGCAACTACAGAACAAGACAAAGCCCCAAAGAGAAGCAATCTAGATATAATCTGGAACCACTGTACTTCCTGTCGCATCACTGACCATCTGCCTTGCTGACTACTACCTTAAATAAGCCATCCCCTCTCAAAAAAGAGGATGGATGGATGGATGGAGAGAGACAGAGAGTTGAGAGAGAGAGAGACAGACAGACAGACAGAAAGAGGGAGGGAGGGAGGGAAAGAGAAACTGAACTGATACTTCTTGCCCTTCTAGTCAAGTGCTTTGAGACTTTGCCTGCTTGAAATAGTTTTCCCTACCCTGTTTCTTCACTTTTCTTTGCTTGCCTCTCTCTCAAGCATTATGTGTGTATGAGAGGAAGGAGAGGGGAAAACAGAGAGATGTAGAGAGTGGATATTCCCGTAGCACCAAGTCAAAGTGGAATTAGATGATACTACAAATGTGGTATACTCAATAACGCATCAGTAATGAAGTTAACACAGCGCATTAGGGAGGATGGGGATTTTCCCCAGGATTAGCAGAGGAAATTTATGGTCAACCAATGGAATGGCCCCAGGTGATGTCATAAGAAGGGGATAACATAATAGAAAGGAAAAGTAACAGGGACAGTTTTACTTTTTTTTCAACCTGCTTTGGGATTTGTAATATTTCACTACAGGCTGAAAATCCAATTTGTTTGCCTCCCAGGTACAGTATTTGCTTCTACTTCTACCTTCATTTTTGTGTATAAAAATAATTCCTAAATATTACATCATTGGAAATTGAACATTTTGCCACCAATTTCAACAGCACAATTGAGGGCTTAGGGAGGCTGGATACAGATTTGCCCAACTCTCTGCTATATGAACACAGCCAGACCACAAGAGGGCACTATGAACATTTTAGAGTTCCCTCAACCTGATTATATGTGACCAACCATATCTCACAACAGTTGTGTTGTAACTGTTCCCATATCACTTTTTTTTAAAATCCCAAATGTGCCCTCAGAAGATTGGGAACTGTTAACCAGCTAATGACTCGTTTGCAACTTTTGTGTGTGCCATATCTAACACAGCTTGCATGTTCATAATAGGTTGTAAAAATAATAAGTCTTTCATTTTTATAGCTGTAACACAACGTAGCATAAGTGCTATCATATCAAATCAGGAGTTAATTTATTATGTTTGAATTTCAAGCATCTGATGCCTGCACAAAGGTCTGGCTCAAAATATTGTTGAAGGCAAAAGACTCCTTTTTAAAGCAGAACAAACTTTCATTTCTTCACGTATACTGAGGAAGTACCATATATATGACATCTTATCGCATGATCTACTTGTTATGCAGTGCTTTTAGCTAGGCTTTTCAAATCCAAATATATGTCATGATTTCTGCTTTCATATGAGACTATAGAGTAGTTTTCAGAATGGGCTTTTCATCTGGTTTTTTTTTCATCAGTAGGTAACGTCTTAATATAGTTAAGTTTAAAATGTAAAAAGATTTTCCTTCTTCCTCCCTTTAGTGGATGTTTTGCATTCAAAACAACCGATTGGAGGTGCAGCAGTTACAACCAAATACGATATACTGTGTCACCGTACAAATTTATATTACTCCACTTCTGTTTAGTGAATTATCTGAAGAACACTGCATCGCTACCCTGAAAGGTAAGCAAAGGAGCAGGGGTGGGTTCTGATTTTTTTTACTACCGGTTCTGTGGGCGTGGCTTATTTTGTGGGTGTGGCTTGGAGGTCATGTGACTAGGTGGGCATGGCTAGCTGGTCAGAGTCATTTCTGGAAGGTCCTCGCACTTACGACCAGTCCTCGCAATTACGACCCGACTCATTTGTTTGCTTTTAACACTGATCAGCTGTAGGACGGCCCTTTGAAGCCCCACGCAAGAGTTTAAACAGTTTTTTTCCCTCTAGTCATCAGCTGGGACTCAGGAGGCAGCAATAGATTGGGGGTGGGACGAAATAAAAGGTAAGAATAATGTGGGTGGGGGGTGGGGCGGGGGGAGGGCGGGGGGAGGAGAACCGGTTCGGTGACGTCATATCGTCACCGCTACCGGTTCGGCCGAACTGGACCAAACCGGGAGGAACCCACCACTGCAAAGGAGTACAAAATACACCAAACTTCTGTATGTCATCAATACTATGAACAGATGAATGTTGTTGAGGAAGAATTCCACACAGGTTTCTAGTTCTTTTGAAAATTCTTCAGAAGAATCTTTTGAATTTATAAGATGTGTAACATTTCCTGTGTTAAATCTGTTACATCTGCCACAATGGGAAGGAAACTTCCTCATTCAATTTCTATACCATCACAATTGTTTTTTTTAGCTGTCAACATTTTTTATTGTATTATAAAGTATTATAAAATACAAAATACAAAGTAAATAGATGAGCGGGGGGTGGGTGGGAAGGAAAAGTGAGGAAAGATAAGGAAAAAGAAAAAAAGAGAAAGAAGCATTGACTTCCGACTCTTGTTACAGTAAAATAAGACATTAACATCAAATCACAACTTTTTGTTTTTTCATAATAATATGAACAAGCCATTACCAGGGGTGGGCTTCAAAAATTTTAGCAAGGGGTTCTCTGCCCGGTTTCTGGTGGGCATGGCCAAGTCAGCCTCCTGCACTATGGCGGGGGGTCATTTTTGCCGTCCCCGGGCTCCGGAGGCTTTCCTTGAGCTTCTGGGAGGGCAAAAACAGTCCCCAGGCTCCGGAGGCCCTCTGCACCCTCCCCGAGCCTCTGTACATGCCCTGCACTTATCTGCATCCAAAATGGGCTATGTGGGGACTCCTGGGAGGGGAGGGGCCAGCCAGGAGTGGGATTTGGGGGTTCTCCGAACTGCACAAAATCTTAGCTAAAGGTTCTCCCAAACCCCTGCAAACCCCCAGCAACCCACCTCTGGCCATTTCTATAAAGATCTATCAGTCTAATCGGTAAAACCCAAAGTCAGAGTTTCATTGTGCTTCATATCAAGCACAAAGTTCAGAAGGGGTCTCCATATGGAAACAAAAGTACTTATGTTCTTTTCTTTAATCAAAGTAGTCAGTTTAGCCATTTCGGCCATTTCAATTCCATCAACTTCTGCAACCATTTGTCCATTGTAGGAATCATTTTTCATGCAATAGTCTTGCTGCAAATAACAAAATTCCAGGAAAAAAAAATCCAATTCTTTTTCCATTAAACCCAAGAGAAAAAGTTCTGGTTTCATTTTGCTTTTGTTTTTGTTTTTTGTTTGTTTGTTTGGGGGTTTTTTTGAAAGAGCAACCAAGATGTATCATAGTTGATCTTAGGTTTCCATTCGAGTCTCATGATGGATAGAAAAGGCAACATTCCTATTACAATGTTCCATTAATATGGCCTCTGCTAGTTACTCTTACAAAAATAGACCTGTTTTTACCCCTCCTTTTCAGCTCTGCAATATTAAGTAGTTGCATTTTTGCTTTGATGGGATTCTGAAGAGCATAATTTTAAATCTTTTATTAGAAACAAGCAAGTCAGCCCTTTTTAGTCATTATTAATTGCCTATGTATTCCTAATAAATGCAGATAAATTAGGCGAAGAAAGAAACTGCTGGCAGGGAAATCAATAACTTACTCTGGATGAACAGCCTAAATATAGAATTTAAAAGAACATAACCCAGCTGTTACACAAGCAAGAAGTTATAAAAGAGACCTTATTTTAATGCTTGCTAACATGCAATATGTTTTGAAAAATAATATATTTCATAAGCATGCTGGCTGATATGTGGGCACATGTTGAAAGCAAAACTGTCAAAATTCGCTACAGAAGCTAAAGGCCATTTTTCAGTTCTGAATACCCTCTAATCTAATTAGATTTTATACTAGAAATTAGAAAGAGTTCAAGATATGTTAAACTTCCAAATAGATATAAAATATTATGCATGTTTTCTAGCTAATATACAAGTAGTCCTCAACTTATGACAATTGGGACCAGAACCAAACAAGGCAGTTGTTAAAGTCAGTTGCACCTGGTTTTGCAACCTTGTTTTGACACAATTGTTAAATGAATCAGGTGGTTGTTGAGAGAATTCTGGCATCTTCCACTGACTTTGCTTGTCAGAAGCTGGCTGGGAAGATCACAAGTGGCAATTAGGTGCCCTGAGATACTGCAACCATTATAAATATATGCCAGTTGCCAAATGCCAATTTTTTTAAATATTATTTTTTATTGTACATTTTCTTTTGTTATGCATAACATTTCCATTTCTGCAACGACAGTGTACTGTCCATATCAAATCTCTTTTGAATACACATATTATACACCTTAATTATAGCCATTATTTTCATTGTATATATAATATGATCTTCACTCCTGGTCATTCTATACAATTTAATCTGTAATCAAATACAATCCAATAATAACAATAAGAATATTGCTTGTAATGTTATGCTTATATATATATCTATATATACATTTAACTCTATTCTATTAATCATTCTTAATTATAAATTTGCTAACTTCTGCTTCTGTTTTCTATCCCTTTATGAAATAAGTCCCATGTTAAATAATACTCTGTTTCCTCTTTGTCCTTAATTCTCATTGTTAACCTGTCCATTTTGGCGCAGTCTAGTATTTTTGTTAATATATTTTCATCTATAGGCATGCTTTTGCTTTTCCAGTTTTGTGCATACATAATTCTTGCTGCTGTTATTACATAAATGCCCAAATTTTGATCATGTGACCTTGGGGATACTGTGATGGTTGTAAGTGCGAGGACTGTAACTTCAAACAAGCGCAAAATGAATGGCTTGTAAGTTGAAGACTAGTTGAAAGAATGCATGTTTTTCCACTTTCAAATAGGGCTGCTTATTTTGAGAAAGTCAGGTATCAATTGTTAATGCTTTTGCCTGCTGGCCCTTTGAAAAAATGGTAAAAATCTAACCTATGTTTTCTCAGCAGATCCAGCTTTCAAGCAAACTGCAACAGTCATATTTGGATATACTTTACCAGGTCTGTTGTTAGTCCTGATTATTTTGGTGTCAAGCTGCTGTCTATATAGATACACTCATTTCGTGAAGCAAACGTATCCCAAGAACTTGGTAAGGATTCTTTGCCATCTTTGAAATATATAGTGCTATAATTTTTTTAAGACAATGTGCAATGAAGCCTAGTTTATACTGGTATTAAATGGTATTATTTGAAAAAAGCTCTTTAGCTGCAACGATGGTTTGCATTAAATACAGACAATAAGTACAGAATTGCTGGTGCTTTAATTTCTCACATGCATTAACAGAAGTGGACAACAACAAGAATTAGCAGCTGTGTAGAAGTCAATTTTGCATTCCCCCCCCCCTTGGGTTAGTTTACACAAGATAGTTCAGCTGAAGAATTATCTCTTGATAGGTACTGAAGAAGCAAACCACATTAGGGAGCAGTTGCCCAAAATTTCTTTTCTTAAAATAGCGATTGCCAGATAGAGATGAGATTTTTGGTAGTAAGATGTCTCTTTCTCACTTGTGCAACTATTTGGAAGAGCTCAAAGTGCTTTACATGACATTGGAAAATCTCTACAAAGGATTTACAGAGTCTTCTAGAATCACTTGGTCAGCATTGTGCCAAATCAGTAACAAGCTTTACCCACAGTGATGGGTGAATGGCGTTAGAAGATGTCCAAAGGTGCTTTTCCAAAAGGCAACTGGATTTTCTTGCGTTTTTTTTTTCCTTGAAAACATTTGCTTCTCATCCAAGAATCTTTTTCAGTTCTAACTGACTGGTGGGTAATGGAAATATTTATATTCTCTGCAGTCATCTGGTGGTTAGCACTCTGAGAGCTATTGGGTCTTTAATGAAAGCTATAGAATGAACTGATTTTTTTTTTAAGTTTTGGCTTTTTTCACTGAGTTTTACACTCAGTATTTGATGTTATACAAATATTTAAAAATATATATATCAACTATGTATGTATTTTGGATAACTGGATTTTAAATTTGTTTTTAATAACTTTATTTGGCTTGCTAATTGTCCCAAGGCTGAGGCATAAACAATCTTTCAGTCCAAGTGTCTACAATATATTACATTACTTGTGTTTATTGCACTAAGACATAATTTGGTTTTCCTATTTTTAATTTAGCAATATTGGTTAACCCTTTGTACAATGAACCATGATTAAAACAAATCATGGCTCAATGTAATGTATAAAGCCATCATGCGTAAATAAGTCATGAGTGAAATTGTTTTCTTTTTAAATTGCTCATCATGACACATACATACATTGTAGGCCAGGATGAACAGCTATGATATGTTATTGCTAAAAAAAAATTATGGTACTAGATAAGTGAATTCTTAAGTACATGTCAAAGAAAGAAATGTAGGAAATATTAACTATAATAATGTGGTAGAAAGGAAAAATTATAGAGAAGAAATTATGAAAATAATGAAGCAGAAATTCCAGAAAAAAAGAAGATAAGACATAAAGGAAGTGAGGAAGTGGTAGCTATAGATCAAAATCTATTTCTAATTATTAGGGAAAGGTGTGAAACTGTGGATGCCAACAGGCAATATCTCTCTTAGGTACGAATCTTCCATTCCTTACTGTATTCCTTATTGTAGGCCTTATAGTTATCAAAGAAATGTTATCAAGGAAATATTCATACAGTTATGTCACAAGCATATTCCACCAGATTTATTCAATATTTAACAGATAGGGACATTTTCTTTCTAAAGCTTTACCTTTTCCCCCCCTCAGATCCTGAAATACAGTCAAAGCTGTGGAAGAGATAATTTTGTTCCTTCTGAAAAAATAGTGGTTAACTTCATTTCAGTTAACGTTGTAGAAGAACATAAATCCTTTCCGGAGAACCATCAGCAAAGAATTGGCAATGGCTACATCAATGCTGAGGGAAGCTGTGCAGAAGAGAAAGCTTTGAAAAATGTTCTGGGAAACAATAATTTCTTAGAAAGGGACAATGAACTAAAAAATGAACAAAATAGAAGCAAAGCAAAACTGGCAGAGTTGGAATCGCCCCAGGCTTTAGGACAGACGCACAATGATGAAGTGGTGGCATACGAATTTGATGTGAGGGCTGAACAGATGACTCCAGTTCAGGAGAAACAGCAAATGTTTAGCTGTATTTGTGAACCAGATTGTGCACCGCACAATTCACAAGCAAAAACGTTGCCCATCTATGGAACAAAGCAGGAATATTGCCCCCAGTTTGGCACACAAGATCCAAACACCTCTTTCAGGCAACAGTTAAAAGAAGTCCTTCTGAATGAAAGGCAATCTGCTTCTTTACAATTAGACGATGCTGAAATCCCTCTGATAAATTTGATGGCTGATGAGCCCAACCGGGCCTTCTGTTCTGAGTGCGATGTTATAGCAGATATTTGTTTGGTGCCTGATCCAAAAGAGCCCTTTTTGGATGAAAAAGAAGCTGCACTCAAAGAACCACACACTTTACTATCTCTACTAACTCAAAAGACAGCTTCAAAACATCACCAGATTGGAACAAGGACCAAGGAAAACCAGGAAACAGGGATGGAAGACAAACTGAACCAAACAGTTGACTGGAATCCCTGGACTGGGAGGATGTATTTATCCCCGTTACTTAACATAACAAAAGAAGATAAAATTGACTCCAAAAATTATGAGGAATCCCTTGAAGAAGCCCTTCTATTCAGGCTTTATGAGAGCCACTGCTCTGAAGACTTATTAGGAAGATATGAGAATATGTACCTCCCCCAACTCAAAGAACATTGGGGACTACATATAGAAATGCAAACTTAATATGTCTTTCATTTCACAATTTACTAACTCAGTCACATGTCTATCAACAAAGACATGGGTTCAGCCCACAGTCAACTCTAATCAAAGGATCTTCTTCCAATCAGCCAAGTCTTGCCTTATGCAATGATAAGGGCAATCAGGTTGACCCAAACCCCAAGAGCTTCTTCTAGACTTTTGCAGATAAGGAATACCGCATACTAGCTGAATATTGGTGATAAGTAAAGATTTTTTGGCTATCTTCATATCATTAGATTCAGCAATTCAGTACATCTAAAATATTTTGTTAAGAAGACAGACTTGAGCTTTATTGGTTTGCTTTAATTTAGACTGCCCATACAGAGCAAAATAAATAAATAAATGGCTTGGTTTGAATGGTATGATAAGAGGAACTGGCTGTTGTAATGAAAACAGAAAAATCTAGAATATTAGAGGGATAATTCAGCATAGGGAACTAATAGCACCAGGGATTAATATAGGTAGTCACTGATTTACAACTGTTTGTTTAATGACAGTTCAAAGTTACGATGATCTCAGAAAAAGTGACTTATGATTCATCCTCAAAGTTACAACCATTGCACCACCCCCATGGGTCACATGATCACAACATGGGTACACTTGGCAACTGGCTTGTATTTACAATTGCAGTATCTTGCGGTCACAAGAATGAGATTTGTGACTTTCCCAGCCAGTTTCTGACAAGCAAAGTCAATTGGGTAGATTGGATTCACATGATTTACTTAACAACAATGGTGATTTGTTTAACAACCTAATGGTTGTAAAATTGGGTCTGGTTACATGATGATCATTTAACAACTACATTGTTTAGACCTAAATTCCAGTCCCAACTGTGGTAATAAGTCAAGAACCACCCATACATGTTTTTACTGGCCTTTTTAAAGCTTTTTAAAGGTTTTAAGCTGTCAATGGGTCATAGTTAAGTTGGACATGTGATTTCACTATCTGAAGTGTCATGCTTCTGAATTCAAATAAGAGGATGCTACTGTAATCATGTCTTGCTTGATGGCTTCCCAGTAGCATTCAATAGGCTGCTGTTAACTTCTGACAAAGTGCTCTAAACTATAAGAGTTGATTAACATCTTTGGAATGTTGGGAGAGCATTCTGAATACAGTCAAAAATGTACTATTTATGGTGGACTTGACCAATCATAAAATGAACAGTCATCATTACTCATTCCCAACTCCCCAAATGCTCACTACTTTTTCTTCTTAGCCCTTTCTTCTGATCAGATGGGGACTCACACAACCAAATCAGATGGACTGCAGCTTCTGATCAGTTTTTCTAGGCATGCCTGTGAAATATATTGTGGGCTCTGAAAGCAATAAATATATGTATATATGTATATGTTTGAGGATGGTGCTTGATTTTGCTAGCTTCCCATTTAATTTTTTTAATTAAAAATATTTTAAAAATCGATATGGCATAGGAAAAAGTGTCCAAGTATCCTGTGGCACTTGTAAGCCTCATAGTGCAGATGTTATAACAACAGTTCCATGTATCTTCCTTTTTTTTTTTGTCTTAAAGACAGTGAGATTTCTCTAAACACAACTTAGACTCCCCAAAGAGAATTAGATTTCCACTTGCTATAACCCTGGCAAATATAAGTTTCATGCTACATCATAGGATCCTTATATGTAAATGAAAGAATTAATTCTTTCACTGACTTATATACCTATCTTTTGTATTCTCGTGTTGAGAAGTTTTGGAAGTATTCTTTTCCTGGATAAATTAATGGATGCTTATACTATCAATATTAGTAGTTTTGATGACTGTCTGCTATTTTCAGAATAACAGACAATGATACCTACAGCAAACTTCTGTGTTGTCAAATAAGAGTACAAACACCATGAAAATGTATCCATTACATATTTTCATTCTGATACCTGACAAAATATCTAAGTCAAGTTGTTGTTGTCACACATAATATCATAATTAGCCACCTACAGATGTTTACGATCACAGATACTATACTTTGAATGTCAGCGGCTCAGAAGCAATCATCCTTTTTTTTTTTTAATGTTTATCAGATTCCTGAATGGAATTTATGTAAAAAATGTAACCTTTGTCCCTTGAATCTGATCCAACAAGATGGTTGTAGCCTTTCAGTTTTCAGACAAAACCCTTAAACTCTGGCTGGCTAAAATATGCCAATTTATATTCAGTAATTTTTGTTTTGCCAGTTTGGTGGGGTATAGCTTCCTCCTTGGTAGTTCCTTGATTAGGGTATTGTTTTCTTTCTGCCTGATTGTTTGTCTGGTGCTAATCCCTGCTTATCTGAATATGAGTTCTTGGAAGGGCTGTAATATAGTCAGTCCGTCTTTGCTAGTTTCCAATAGCCTAGCTTCCCACCCTGATCTTTCCCACCCCGCTATCTTTGCAAACAGGAGCTCAATAGGCCTTGACGTTTGCGTGAGTAGCTAAAGGTGACCAACAAAAGCAAAATAGCAGAGAAGCTCAGAAAAAGAAATTAGAATTTTGTCCATCTTGCCAAATGCATCTTGCATACATTTTAGTGCTGGAGCAAGTTTAAAAAGGTACAATAGCTTCCATGTTTCCATCAATGCAGCCTGAGTAAATCAATGTTGATATCTGTAACATGCTAAAGGCAATCACCATCACCTCTATTAGCCTAATACATTGTAATCGCTATAAATTAATCAGGCTTGATATTTTCATCCAGCCTGAGGAATTGGCAGTGGTAGGCAATTCCCTATAGAAAATTACAGCTGAATCTATTTTATTTATTTTCTGAATAGTCAATTACATGGGCAGCATATACTAATACCAAAATATACTAGAATCTGAAGGTTGATTACAGTTTACATTAATGTTTGGAAATTACATATAATGACTTTTGTTACAATCAGATTGCTAAAGACGAATCACCTCTCCTCAAGGCTATCTTCATCCCACTATCAGACAGGATAGGTATGCTCCAGGCCCCTTTCCTTGAACATTGATGGGAGCTTGACTATGTTCCTTTTCTGTAGCTACCCTTAGGTGTAGCCTCCCTCCTGAGATCTTCTGGAATTCCTGGCTCTTCTCCCATGCATTGAGCTAAGGTGGGGCTGAGTCAGGGGATCAACAGTATGGTGGTCTGGCACTTGGTGGGAAAGGCATGATCACTTTTTACATCATTTTTATTGGTTGTAAGCTATCTAGTACAGTATCAGTCTGTGGATAGGCAGTTGTTTATATTCATTAAATAAATAATGCTTTAAATCCATATAAAAAGTTAACAATAGAATAATAGAATTGGAAGGGATCTTGTTGGTCATCTTGTCCAGAGGTGTCAAATTCACGTCGTCACATCATCACATGACATATCATGACTTTTTTCCCCTTCACTAAACTGGGGGTGGGCGTGGCTAGTACATGATGAATCTGCTCGTGGGCTACGGGTTTGACTCCGTGGATTTCTGACAGATGGCAGTCCAGTCTCTTCTTGAAAGCTTCCAGTGATGAAGCACCCACAATTTCTGATTGTTCTCATTGTCAGAAAATTTCTCCTTATTTCTAGGTTGAATTTCTCCTTGATCAGTTTCCATCCATTATTTCTTGTGTGACCTTCAAGTGCTTTGGAAAATAGCTTGATCCCCCCCTCCTCTCTGTGACAGCCCCTCAAATATTGGAACACTGCTATCATGTCTTCCCTGGTCCTTTTCTACACTAGTCTAGCCATGCCCAGTTTCTGTAGCCATTCTTCATGTGTCCCCTAATCATCTTTGTTGCTAGCAAGAATCTAGATAGCACCATCCTAAATATATAAAACTTCAAAGATGTATCTGGGAAATTTTCTTCACCAGTAAAAGATCAGCAAATAGAAATTTGGATATGGGCTTATGAAACCTATTTATTTCAACTAGCTGGGCTGGCTTGAGTTAAATTTTAAATTGATTTTAAATCGGATTGTTTTAATTTACGGCCAAAATATTTAATTATTTTAAACTGTTTTTTAAATTTTGTATGTTCTGTTTTTTACTTTGGCTGTTCACCGCCCTGAGTCCTAATTGGAGAAGGGCGGTATAGAAATGGAAACAAACAAACAAACAAACAAACAAACAAACAAATAAATAAATAAATAAACCTGGAAAAGTCCAGGCCTCATCCTTTTACTGCCCTGTTCCTCCCTTTTTCCAATTTGTTGTTCTTTTTCCACATTGCTGACATTGGGTTGGGACCAAAGGATCGGTCACATTTCAACTATTTAATCTAATCCCTGGGAAACAGCTGAGAAGAAACAAAAGCCAGTTTGTGTAGGAAACAAAACAATGCTCTCTTCCTGTATCACCAGCTTGTTCTGGTCTCTTACTGTCGAGCTAAGAAAGGGAAGTGACTTTCTGAGTGCAATACTTCACCATCAGCTGCAATGCAGTAGAAGGAAGTGTCTCTAACATTACCCCCTCGCTGTATTAAATTACTTTCCGAGTATTAAAAAGTATATGAGGCTTCCGTAAGTAAAGGCCTCCCAGCAGAAATCTAAAGAATATTGTTTCATTAATTTAAAACAACATTGCTCAACCAAGACTTCCAAAAATACCAGCCAATCAATTATTGTTGGCTTGCTCATTTGCGCCTTGGGACTCATCTATCATTGGCACGTGGATGCTGCCCATTTACTCACAAGCAAACAGACTGAAAAGGCTTTCTCGTCCCTAAGGTGCAAAATGCAGCAAATACCAAAATATTATTGCCATGGTGATTTTGTTTTCAAGTGTTGCTTATTCTATTGAGTAATTAGGCACTCCAAGTCACATCCCAATTCTTCATGCGGTAAACATTTCGCTGATGAAAACACAACCAAATATTTTATTTTAGGGAATGAGGCTTACTACAGGCACACCAGAGGGTTGACTTTATTTTGATGTTTCTGATTTTTTTTATTTATTTATTTGATATTAACTATTCCATTTTTGTGATGCCTCTTTATTCCTAAATATACCTTCAGAGACCCATCTATTCATCTTATCTCTCAACTTCAGGCCTCAAGTCTTCTCAGCTTCAAGCTCGAGAGTCTCTCAGTCTCTCCCAGAAGTAGCTCAATTTTCCTTTTTCTTTAAAATCCTAAACTTAATAAGCACATTTTTGGGGAAAAGAACTTTGTTGAACCAAAGAATAATGGGAGGGGGAGAGATCCCTCATTCACAGAAATGATAACTCTGTCAGTAATGCCCCAGGGGACAGTAAATAAATAAATACATACATACATACCAGGGGTAAAATCCAGCAGGTTCTGACAGGTTCTGGAGAACCGGTAGCAGAAATTTTGTGTAGTTCGGAGAACTGGTAGCGTAAATTTTGAATAATTCGGAGAACCGGCAAATCCCACCTCTGGCTGGCCCCAGAGTGGGGTGGGAATGGAGATTTTGCAATATCCTTCCCCCAGGGGAGGGAATGGGGATTTTGCAGTATCCTTCCCCTGGAGTAGAGTGGAAATGGAGATTTTGCAATATCCTTTCCCCTGGAGTGGGATGGGAATGGAGATTTTGCAGTCTCATTCCCCTGTCACACTCACTAAGCCATGCCCACCAAGCCACAGCACGCCCACCAAGCCACACCCACAGAACCGGTAGTAAAAAAAATTGGAGTTCACCACTGACACATACATACATACATACATACATACATACATACATACATACATACATACGCAAGCCAGCCAGCATCTTAGCCCAACTTGAAACTCACATTTTACAAGTTTCACAACAATTCTCCACTTGGAAACATAATTTTAAAAGAAAAAAAAAACCCAGAAGGCATTTTAAACTATGTATGCATCGGTGACAACCTTTGCGCATTCCTGCTTTGACACCACAGTTCTCCTTTGTTTCTGCAAGATTACCTTCATCTCATCCATAGTCTATGAGTGAGACAGCTCATAGACTTGTTATTAGCTGCACTCTGGACAGCTTACAAGTAGGATTCTTGTCCTTTTTCTAACATTGCCCAAGGACAGCCTGAAGGTGTGCTCTCATTATTCTGGAAACACAGTCAGGTAAACAATACAAGAGAGAATGTGTTTTGGGAATCTTCCTCCTCTCCGTAATTAGCTACATTTCACCCCAGACATTTCTCTCCCAACTTTTGCCCACTCCTTTAATGTCTTATTTTCTGAGTTCTCGTCTGATTCCTCACCTTGCTCCCCTCTTTTTCAACATAAAGACATCCAACCAGGCAGAGGACGGTAGAAAAGAGACCTCTAATTTTTCATTAGAAAAAAAAAAGACGGAGATGTTTCTGCTTATTTGCTCATTTTTCAACATAGTTGTGGTAGGGTTAGTAACAGACAAGACCAGTTTCCAATTTTTCTACTGTGTAGAATCTAGATAATTGTAAAATCAT